AATTCTTGCGATGGAACCGGCACCATCACTCAACCGGATCTACCAGTTGGCTGTCTAGGAGGAGAGCCAACAGCTAGTTGCAGCTGAGCATACACGCGTGGGTGAAAGTGTCGCCCTCGGAGCCTTCCCATCTAGTGCAAAGACAGCAAACGGAGGCCATGGAGCCCTCGGGAGTGTTGGGACCCGAAGAGCAGTTGTGGCATCCAAAGGAAATGAAGTCGCCAGAGGAAATGAAGGAAACCCTAGGGTTTTCCAGACGAACTGCTGGGATTAACACATGGGATTGGACGGTTCTTAATCGTCCACCATTTCAGCTGAATAAGACGGCCATTATCAGGCCACATTAGCCCTAGTATATAAAGGATCCGATGGTTCACAAAATGCCACTTCATCGGAAAGGTTAGTCGGCAAAATTTTAAATTTAAAAATAAATATTGTGAATATTGCAAGCACCCATACCATTTTGTTGACACATGCTAGAAACTGCATGGAGAACCTAACGATAAAGAAAAAAAGGAGAAGAAATCTTCTGCTTCTCAGGTTTCCGCAAGAAAAATTGATGGGCACATCAAATGATTACTTAAGAACAACAGTAGATTATTATGCAAATTCAATTGAAGACCAACAACAAGAATGCAAGTTTCTCAGGTAATTTTCTTTACAAAGAGAATTCATTCTCAGTTGATGCATGGATAATCGATCCGGGAGCTAGTGACCACATAATATATAATGATTTTTTTTTCCATATCCACAAAGGTCCACAATCTTCCGTGTCAGTACATCTCCCAAATGGGAATGTCACCTATGTTATGAAAATCGATACTGTGCATCTTGGTCCAAATTTTATACTCAAGAATGTCCTGTATATTCCTGATTTTGAGTTCAACCTTCTCTCTATCTCAAAAGTCTGTGAGGATAATTCTTTTTGTGCCATCTTCAGTTCCGAAAATTGTTTCTTTCAGGATCATTTGACTGGCAAACTAATGGGCTTGGGTAATGTTGCTGAAGGATTGTATTTCTAGATTGATTCCCCAGGAGATTTAGATTTATTGAATAAAAGCATTTCTTGTAATGTAATCACTCGAAATAAAAATCTCCTTTTACATCAATGCTTAGGTCATAGTGTGCGTTTCCCTTATCCAAAATGTCCCATATGTCCTTTGGCTAAAGAATCTCAAGCATCTTGTCCAATAAGTACATCTCAAGCTAACAATGCATTTTCCTTACTTCACATGGACATCTGGGGTCCTTGCCATACCCCTAATCGTAATTGATCCCGTTTTTCCTCACAATCGTTGATGATTATACCCACACCACTTTGGTATTTCTTATGCAATCCAAGAGCCAAACATTTACTCATTTGTTGAATATCATTTCTCTGATTAGAAATCAATTTAATAAATCTATGCAAAGAATTTTTACAAATAATGGGCGCGAGTTCTTCACTTCCAATAGCAAAACTTTTTTATCCTCTCATGGGATACTTCCCGAAAGTTATTGCACATATACTCCACAATATAATGGAATTGCTGAGCGCAAGCATAAACATCTCTTAAAAGTAGCCTGAGCACTAAAATATTAGGCCTTTATTCCTGAAAGTGTTGGGGAGATTGTATGGTCACGGCAACCTGTTTGATTAATCGCATGCCAACTCAAATTCTAGATGGTTGAACTCCTTTTGCAATGCTTTACGGAAACAGCCAGAAATTGGTCATCTTAAAGTATTTGGTTGCTTAAGCTATGCAACGAATGTGGGCCCTTGGAATAAAATGGATCCCATTGCCACTCAATGTATTTTCACAGGATATCCTTCTCTTTAGAGAGGATACCGTGTTGTGGAGATTTCTACGGGGCATTTTTTTTATAAGCAGGGACGTTACATTTCATGAAGATGTATTTACATTCTAGGAAATGATATCTTCATCACAATCGTCCCCGTCATCAGACAACCATCCATTCTTATCCGATGACGATTTATCCATGACCCCACCATATGCTTTCATTGCACCGGAACCATCCGTCCCAATTCAAAGGGATTCTTTGAGACCAATAGTTGAATCACCAGTATTGTCTGAGGATATTTCTCCTATTCCTTCCACGGCGGCTTCATCTCCACCATGGAATGATTCAGAACATAAGCCAGTTCCTGAACAAATACCAAATGAGCAGCTTCAACGCTCTGGGCAGAATATTTGTCTACCTACGTGGACCAAAGACTACATATGGTCTACACTGAGCTCTTCAGGTACACAATATCCTGTCTTTTCGTATGTCTCCTCTAGTCGGCTATCACCAGAACACATATGTTGTATTAGTTGCATCTCAGAAGAATAGGAGCCATCTTCATTTACTGAAGTAGCACGTGACCCTCGATGGCAACGTGCAATGGAGTCTGAACTCACCACCCTCGTGGAGAATCATACTTGGGATATTATTCCATTACCCCCACATTGGAAATCAATTGGCTGTAAATGGGTATACAAAATCAAATTCAAAGCTGATGGATCTATTAAGCACTACAAGGCTCATTTAGTTGCTAAAGGATTCATACAACGAGAAGGTTTTGATTATCATGAAACTTTATCTCCCGTTGCCAAAGAAGGAATCGTCTGTTCCTTTTTGTCCATTGCTATCATTCGCAATTGGCCACTACATCGGATGGATGTTCACAATGCTTTCCTTCATGGGAATTTAGATGAAGAAATTTATATGGAACTTCCATAAGGTTTACACAAACAAGGGAAGTCTTGGGTATGTCGTTTACGTAAATCCCTATATGGGCTTAAACAAGCATCTAGAAAATGGTATGCCAAGTTCACTGCTGCACTAACAAGTGCAGCTTTCTAGCACTCCAAGCACGATTATCATCAACTTATTTACTGATATATGTTGATGATATACTTGTCATGGGAAATAATGACCATTATGTTACAAAGTTCAAAGAATATCGGCATTCTACTTTCCACATTAAGGATTTGAGACCTCCAAAATATTTTCTTGGCATTGAAATTGCTTGATCCGACGAAGGTATCAACTTTAGTCAGAAAATTTGTCTTGGAAATTGTTTCTAAAGTAGGATTATTAGGTTGCAAACCAGCTGTCATACCAATTGAACAAAATGCCAAGCTGACTACCCATGAGTATAATTTGAATTCCTCTTCATCTATCGAGGATCCATTGCTAAAGGATCCATCGGGACATCAACGACCCGTTGAAAAATTAATATATCTTACCATGACAAGACCTGACATATGTTATGCCGCGCAAATACTCAACCAATTCATACATAGCTCAAAACAGTCCCATATGAATGTAGCACTGAATGTTGTAAAATATTTAAAGAGATGTCCAGGACTTGGCATATTTTTATCTCGTGATTGCAACATGAAGATGACAGCTTACTGTGATACAGATTATACTACTTGCCCAATGACCAGGAGATCCATCATTGGTTTTTGCATCAAATTAGGAAAATCATTAATTTCATGTAAAATGAAGAAACAATCGACCATATCACTGTCATTAGCTGGATCAAAATATCAAGCCATAGCAAAAACTACATGTGAGATAGTTTGGATACGAAGACTACTTTCGGACCTTGATGTTGGAGAAACAACTCCAAATGAATTTTGATGATATCCAAACTATCATTAGTATAATATCCACATTGTCTAAAAGTGCAGATATATTCAAAGGACTAAGTGATATTTATAATATTATTCATTGAAGAAAAGATCACAAGACTGTCATTGAAGGATCAGATAAACATCACCACGATCTCAAAGATTAGTTAAATGACGATGTCTTAATTCAAGCCGAAGAGATCTAGTAATTGATAATATTTAGGTAATGATTCATTTAATATAACCGGTATGTCACTATTGTAACCGTTGGGACTAGACAGGCACAACAGAAGACCCGGCAGAAAGGAGAACAGTTAGTCTGGTAGGTAGTCAGAATCATAATTACAGTGCAACAATAGAAGCTATTTCAAGAAAGTCTATAGAAGTTCAAGAATAGACTATATGGGTGGTTAGTTCCAAGGATAGCAGCACCAACAACTCTAACGGCTATTTTTTCCTCTCTAGGACATTAGCAACAACTAGTTTGAAGATGCCTATAAAAGAGTAGGTTTTTGAAGCCAACAAGTTAGAGAGATAGAGAGTGTGCTTATAATATTCCCAAAATCTCTTACTTGCTGTGTACTGAGCAAAAAGCTCATGCTTGTCAATAGCACTTGCTGCATTGTAATTGTGTTGAAATTTCAAGTGTACCAAGTGATCGCAGCATCCACCTCCTGGTAGTGTGATCTCCAAACTGATAGGAGTGGTGCTTGCGTGTGTAACTTGATCAGTAAATTACTAGTGCAATCCAGCTCACCTTGTGGCTATTAGTGGTGAGAGTGGACATAAGCTTGGAATCAAAGCTGAACCACTGTATATCCTTGTGTGCAGTTGCTTATTATTCTATTTATCATCTCTAGCATACAAAATGACACATTGCCTCTCATACAGCTGGTGTATTTGTGATATCTCTTTGTTACACATTGTTTTCTGCAAAAGTTTTAAAATCTTCCAAAGCAACCTGTTCACCCTTCCTTTAGATTGCATAGTTAGTCCCAACACTTTGAATACAGGTGAATGGACCAAGTGAACTATTTTGTGACAACGATGCTGCACTCAAACTAGCGGCAAACCCAGTCTTCTAGGAGAGAACAAAACATATAAAAATTGATTGTCATTTCACTCGAGACAAGATTAGAGAAGGGGTCCTTGTAACAAAAGGAATTGGAACTATGGAACAACCTACAGACATCTTCACCAAACCACTGTATTAAAGGCAACATACATACCTATTAAGCAAGCTAGGTGACCTTGACATATATAGGCCACCAGCTTAAAGGAGAGTGTTGAAGATATAATTGAAGATTCTGATTGTGGCGATCTTGATTATGGACTAATTGATTTGGTCAATCCGTGATTGATTTGGTAATTAGGGAATTGTAATCAATTGTATATTATTTCCTATTATTTTCTTTCATTCATACACTATAAATAGATCGTGTACTTGTATACATATCATCTGAATACAATACAATCAGAAATTCTTCAATTCTTGCAATTTCTATCAATTAATGTAAGCGAGATCAAGCATGGAGAACACAAGACGGAGTGTGCGGCTGGTTCGAAGGAAGGGAGCGAACTTAGGCAACTGCAAGAGTAAGTACCATAAAACGGTTACCCAACGTCTTATGGCTGTAGCAGGCGAAGTTTGTATGCCGATGGTAATGGTGACCAAAATCACAAAATCTGCAATTGCTTGCAGCGCCATTGCGTGCGTTGACGCATCTACTGCCTTGTGGTAGTCACTTTTCCGTGCTGGTATGAGGCGGATGTACGCAGTCGCTGAGAAGAACATCGAGATGGTGAAGCCAATTGCAAAGATCTTGCGGCAATAGTCACTTTCCAGTGCTGATATGATCGTAGCCATGCCCTGGTCTTCTCTGGAAGCCGTGCTGCTGAATTTCAATACATTGGCAACTATGAAAACATATATGAAACTCAGAGTGACCATAAAGCCTGCCATCTGCATAAGGGTAGTGACCTGCTTCTGTAAAATCTTGATCCATTTTGCAGAAAATTTTAAGGTCAGTCCTCATAATTCTAGCATGTATTGTACGAACTAGAAAGAGTGGTAGAAAAACGCTATGAAGAGGTAGGTGAAATTGTGGTGTTTAGATTAGTTAGTAGCAGGTAGAATTAATGGCCAATGAGTGGCCAGCATGCAATGTTCAGAGATATTTGATTAGGAATATCGGTCAAAGAAGGCCTACAAATAGGCTGTAGTGGTGACGGAAGCCTGGCAGGAGAAGTTGAACACGCGCAAAGCTCCTCCACTTTAATAAACTATCCAATAAAGTACCACCCCCCCGCCCCCGCCCCCGCCCCCGCCCCCGCCCCCCTTGCTCCCATCGCTCATTGTAATTATCTTTGTTCTCTGCCTTGAAGTGCCGAGCCTTATCCTTCCTCACAAAGTAACCTTCCCACACACACACACATCAAGAGAGATAATTACACACTATGGAAATTGATATGGAAATTCATTAGCGTACACGGACCAATTCTGTTTTTTCGGCTTAATTCTCGTCTATGTGATTTTTTGGGCTTAATCGCGGCAATATGGTTTAAGCACCTGCTCTTGACTAGAGCAATGAGTTCGGATCCATACATTATTAAATATAATATCAGTTACTATGAAATTTGACGTTTCTTTTTTATTTGAAATTGTGCAAATATGACGATTGTATTTATGTTTCTATGGGAAAATATATATTATTTCTTCAAACTATTATTTCTAACCATATTAAATACGTGTACAGTAATAATGATTGTATTTGATTCCCTGGAAGTGATTTGGTACTTACTTAATAATCCGCTTACTCTCAGCGAAATTGGCCTATTTATAGTTTTTGCTAATGTTGGTAGGATTGAGAAACTTGGGCGTTGTTAATTTTATTAGAGTGCTTATGGATGTATGCATTTTCGCTATTACGATTTTAGCGTTAAGTGATGGAGTTTGAGTTTGGATTCGAGAGATGTGGATTTTGAGGTGTCACATTTTCACTCATGATATAATTCACAGTAACTCAGTAGAGAGTTAAAGGAAACATGACACCACTAATCACATTTGAATCAGTCTTTTAAAGAGAGAATTTTCTTCTTCTTTTTTTTTTTTGCTTTACGAGACATTACTAACGTAACCTTTTCAAAAGAAAATTTACTCTCAAGACCCAGCGGTTTCATAAAACCTTAGACACCTTTTTGTTGTTCGAACACGCATTATTTAGATAGAATATGATAGATTTTGGTATTTTATATATAAATATTCATCCTATATCAATTAGAAGAATTGCAAAGTTAAAAGATAAATTGTATCCGTATGATTATGTAATGGAAAAGTACAAATGGTCTGTTCAACCCAATTTCGATTGTTTTCAGATGTTTTTATCTTATTTAAAAAAAATCGAAAATGTCTGCACCATTTGTTAGTGAAAAGAATCAGATAATTAGCAATTTCTCTTTTAAGAAAAAATATAATTAATTCACCAGTTTTTCCTATAGCACGGGTTTCTTAGCTAGTAATAATGAAGAAGGGAATGTGCTAGAGAGATGAACTCTTAGACGCGTACTAGAGTGAGAAGGAATAAAATAGGGTTATTTGCACTAACCTTTTCATTGACCGTCTTGAGAAACTGCAGTCTGCTTTGATCTCTAGATATCTCGATATTCTCTTGACGAATAATTTCCCTCCCAAAATCTCTTACTTGATCATGCATCCATATTTTGCCACGATCAAGAATTTTGATCAAGGACTTATTGACAAGGGCGTCCATTTCAACTTTCGGGAAAAGGTCACAAGCTTTGCATATACACACTGTATCAGTTTTTTTCTTGTTAAGAAAGAAACTTGCAATGTCCAGAAAAATTTGTTTCTCCCCATAATCAAGTCCCTCATATATTAACACTAACTTCTGTCGGACCTTTTCGAGAGGCACTTCCCTCATGAACTTATGTCGGAGTTTTACGGAAGGCACTTCCCTCGTGAGCACTTCCCTCGTGAACTTCTGTCGGAGTTTTACGTAAGGCATTGCCCTCATGAACTTCTGTCGGGCATTTTCGAGATGCTCTTCCTTTAAATTCTTCAGTGCACTTTTCCAGTCTGCTTTAAGCCTTATAGAGTCCAAGCAATCCTCAATACCTTCCAAGGGAGGCAAGTCCCTCATCAGTCGTGTTCTTATCTTACTACTGTTTATCTGCAATGTCAGATCTTCGTGGTTATATATTGATTGAGGTAGTTCCTCGATAGTTGTCCCAGATAGATCCAACTCAGTCAATGACTTCAGCTCCCCAACAGCATCCAACAGCGAATTTAGACTCGTGCAATTCGCCAAACACAAGTACTCAAGATCCGCTAGCCCTTTGATCGTGTTCGGAAGTTCAACTAATCCTGTATCCTCCACAACTAGCCTTGACAAAAGTCTTAGATTGCCGATCGAGTCTGGCAAATGACGAATGCTAAAACCCTGGATCAAGATGAGCTCTCTCAAGGCAGTTAGATAACCAATTTGCTGGGGCAACCATCTAAGAAATGGACACCATTTGATCTTCAAGTACATTAACCGCTCTAGTTTTCCAATTGAGTGATCAATTTGCACCAAATTTGGAAAACCTTTCAGAACCAATCTCTCCAAACTCAAAAATTCTGAGAAGCAAGGTGTTTTAATTAAGGAATTTGATCTCGCTATTTTCAAAACTTTCAGTTTACTTGCCACCTGCAGTACGGCAACCGACTTAATCCAGTCAAGATTCAGTATGCATCGCAAAATAAGTGCATGTCATCATATATCCAAACAATTAGTTGAAAGAGTAACTGAATCAGGTGAAATTGTACCATGATTTCGACCCATCCGCTCCATTTGTCCAAGATGATATCGCCTGAAAGCTTGAGAATAACTAGGCGATTCAACACAAAGTTGTTCGCTTTTAATTCTGGAGGACAATTTCGCCAACAAAGCCATCTTAGCTCCGACAAAATATCCTCAAAGTTGCCAGCAAAGTTCCCCCCATCCAATTTTAGAAACCTCGCCTTTGTGAGATCCGCAAAATCTTTGCATGGAAAATTGTCTCCCGATCTCCGTGGTGTGAGCGCTACCGCATTCTGTGTTCCCTGATGGAAAATACAATATTAAAGTGTCTCTTGACTTAAGCAATGAGATGGGATCCATTAATTGTAAATATAATATTGATTTCTATTAAATTCGATATTTCTTTATTATTTGACATTGGATATATTTGATGACTGTATTTATTCTTTTGCATGGAAATATGTACTATTTCTTTGAACTAATTTTTCTAACTATATTAAATATTTAGACTATAATAAAGTCTGTATTTGATTCTGTGAAAGTGATGTTTGATAGTTAGTAATCCACTTATTGACCTATTTTCAGTATTTGCTGGTGTTGAGTAGAATTGAGGAATGTTGAGGTTAATTTTATCAGAGAGCGCAGCAAAAGCGTAGATATTCTTTTTTATATGACTTTTGTGGATGATGAACTTTCGTGATCGTAAGTTTAGCGGTGAATTTTGATGGAGTTGATGTTTGTAGACTTTGGTGCAAAAGAATAATTTCCTAGTATTATTTTAGGCTTAAAGGAATGTTATTCAATATTTACGGTTTAAGTCGTCAACTAACAATTTCGAGTTTGGATTCGAGTCTGTGAATTTCACGGTGTCATATCTCTCTACTCATGATATAATTCATAGCAACTCAATAAAGAGTTAAAGGAAATATGACCCCACTTACTAAAATCATATCAGACTTTCAAAAGAGAATTCGTTTAACTTATTAGACATTGCTAATTACAAACGTAACCCTATTAAAAAATGTACTTTTCTATAGTACTCTCGAGTTCTACCTTTTTGACAAAACCTTAGACAGCCTTTTTTCGTTCGAATGTGAATTATCTAGACAGAAAGAGATAGATTTTGCTAATTTATATGAATAAAAAAAACCTCATCATATATCAATCCAAAAAATAGTAAAGTGAAAAGATAGATTGGATAGGTATGATTATGTAATGGTTCAAATGGTCTTTTAAACCCAATTTCTATTATTTTCAGATACTTTTATCTTATCTAAATAAGCGAAAATGGGTGCACCATTTCTTGGTGAAAAAAATCAGATAATTATCAAATTGCTTTCTTAAGGAAAAACATAATCAATTCACAGGTTTTTCCTATAGCATTCGCTTCTAAGCTAACAGTAAATGAAGAAGGCGATGTGGTCGAGAGATGAACTCTCAGACGCGTAGTAATGTACGGAGGAATAAAAAAGTGTTGTTCATACTTACCTTTTCATGGATCATCTCAAGATACCACAATCTGCTTCGATCTTCAGATTTCCACATATGCTCTTGACGAACAATTTCCCTTCCGAGAGTTCTTAATTGATCATGCATCCATATTCTATCATGATCAACAATCTTGATCAAGGACTTGTCAATAAGAACCTCGATTTCGACTTTTGGGTAAAAGCCTGAGTCTTCCCACATATACATTGGATTAGTTTTTTTCTTGTTAACAAAGAAACATGCGATATCCAGAAAGATTTGTTGTGGCCGATATTCAAGTGCATCATAACTAATTTTTAACCTCTGTTGGACCTTTTCGTGAGGCACTTCCTTCAATTTCTCCAAGATGCTTATCCATTGTGCTTTGCTTTGGCCATGGAGATGTGAACCTATCACCTCAACAGCCAATGGAAGTCCTCCGGTGAGTGCAACAACTTCTCTTGAAAGATCATAAAGATCAGGTGGAACTGAATCTGTGCTGAAAGCAAGGTTATTGAAAAATTGAAGAGCATGATCATAACGCATTTCCTTCATTTCGTACAAAAAAGTTTCTGTAGATCCTGTTGAGATATGTTCCTCAAATCCTTCCACCTTAGTAGGAAAAGCACTCTTATCTCTGGTTGTAATGATGATCCTACTCCCTGGACCACACAAAGTACAATACTTCGCTAGTTGCATAGATTGATTATTTTCATCTATGCCATCAAAAACAAGTAAGACTCGTTTGTTAGGTAATCTCTTTCTGATCATATTGTTCCCTTCCTCAAAGTCACAGGTTTTAGGAAGCGAGAAATTGAAAAGATCTGCTACTAATTTTCTTTGCATTTTTACAATGCCACGGCATGGAGATGATTCTTGGATGCTTGAAAGGAAGGAGTGACCTTCAAATTGAGGAGAGAACTGATTGAAAACTACCTTGGCAAGAGTTGTCTTTCCCATGCCACCTATCCCATAAATTATGACAAATCGTACATCACTAGTATCACAACAATTTAACAGTTTCTTTATGTCTTCTATACGATCATCAATTCCAACTAAATAGGTGGGCAAATCTCTTTTTCTTATAGTGATCTTCTGCAATACCCTTTTAATAATATCGTCAATGACCTCGCCTTGCCTGCCATGTTCACGAAATCGTTGCCCATGAGACTATACATAAGCAATTAGAATTTCAAATAGAAGCAAATAATTTATGACTAGCGTGCAGACATTTATATTCCACATAATACTTGCAATGTACGTACATAAATCGCTCTTTACACACCTGTTGAACAAGGCTTCTCTTACAAGGGGGGCAAGTATTGCCCCCATAGAGTTTATCTGAACAATTTGAATAAGAGATACCTCGTATTTGAACCAATCACTAGAGTTTCCCTTTGGGATTTTATCAGCATGTAGATAGTCTTAGCCTAATTGTAGAAAATGATGTATACAACCCTGTGTGCTTGTGGGCGCTCCTCTTCTAATACAGAACCGGAAGGGCCAATAAATGAATAGATAGATAAATTAAGGAAGGCAGTGTCTATACCTTTGATCTTTTAGATGCCACCCCTTGATTCTAGCCACAGTGGTCAAAGCCTCCTTCCAAGGATTCACTTCGGAGCAGCCAAGTTCCTCCTCATGCTTCGTTAGGGCGCTTTTGTACTGCTCCGTTTCAAGCTTAACATCTCGGGGGTCCACATCATAAAAGATGGGTAGAATTTGTTTCCCCGGGAATTGGTCATAGCTTTTCACCATGCATGTCAGCTCTCGGAGGCACCATCTACTCGAAGCGTAGTTCTTGGAGAAAATAGGAATGTATATTTGGGAGCTTTTTACTGCTCGCAAGATCTCCGAGATCTTTTCGCCTGGCCATAACTCTTCATCGTCCCTAAAAATGCGGATTCCTGCCTTGCTCATGAACACATAGAGGCAATCTGTAAATGTGTTGCGAGTGTCGGGTCCTCGAAAGCTCAAGAACACATCGTAGTTGCCGCCTGTTGCGATCCCTGAGTTGCCCCCTTCCATCGCCATTTAGCAAACGGATCGATGCTACGGGCGACTTCTCTGTTAGGGTGCGTGAGGAGACTTTTACAGCCAGAGGCACGATCAAGATGAGTAGCGACTTCCACTCTCTTTCTTTCCGGTAAGGTAACACACATCGAAGTCCTTTTTCATCTCTTTCTTTCTGCGTTGGGTCTTCCTTTCCGCGAAGGTCACTAATGCAGTCTCTTTCCTTCCACCCTAAATTGGCTCCACGAAGTCTGTTTCAGTTTGTCGTTATAAACTCTCTTTCCCCGTAACTTATCTTTTTCTTTCCGCGAAAGGTCACATCTCTCTTTCCGCCCGCCTTAGTTGACTCCTCGAAGTCCGTTTTAGCTTTGTCATTATTTAACCATTTATTCGCCCCCTTTGTCGTCGTTACGAAAGTTGTGGGAAAATGCTAAGTAATTCCCACCACGACAGGCGGAATCTTCGAGCGGACTGATTCGGCGAATATTCTGAATATCTAATTCTAATGTCCACCTTGCTTTGATTTTGTTCACTTTTCTTGTTGCTTGATTACAAACAATGACCAACTTTTAATTGATGTGAATAAATAGCAAGCTACCGACCAAGAAAAAATGATCATTCGATACGAGCAAAGTTTGGTCACAACAGAAATCATTAATGAACAAAACAACCAGCAAGTTCTAAGCTTATTAATAGAGTGCAAGATATCGTGTTAGAGATAATTAGGATAGTTCTCTATGGTATTTTCCTCTATTAAAGATAATTGGGATATCTCTATTGATTTTTCTATATCTCTCAAGATTGTGCGTAATATTCCTCAAATCTATCTTCCGCACTATTCTTATTTATGTCGATACAACAAGTTCGTGAGGTTCGTGCAAAGGTTATCGATGAATTTCTTCACCAGTTAACAACTTGAGTTATCGATAAAAAAATATTTCGACAGTTGACTACTCAAAAGAAATTGATAAATTACTTGCTAAAGTCACCGATGGGAAGCAATTACAGACTTTACTAAGTGTTGAAGCAATGTCATTTATGAAAAATACAGAGAGTTGTCATTGCATCGGTGGAACATGTAGATTGACAAAAACACATGATTGCCGGAATGGTTATGTCTATAGTCTCGCAATATGAATCATTTTGTGGTGCGAGAGTAGATTTCCGCAGCAAGCACAATTAAGATGAATAGCAACTTCCCCTCTCTTTCTTGCCCAGTAGGGTCACTCATCAAAGTCCTTTCTAGCTTTCTAACTCTCTATTTGTGTAATGTCCGCCGTAAAGTCCAAGTAATTTCACTAATGTAAGTCCTTTTCGTTTTTCGACTTTCTTTCGGCGTAGGGCCATCTTCGCATCTCACATCACATATCATGTCATTCATGAGAAAATGCTAATCCGATTCCTTTTGAGCTTACCATTATTCATTATGAGATGAATTCCATCTTCTCATGTCATGTCAGATGTAAAAATGCTAGATAATCATCCCTTCCAACACTCTTTCGGCCATTTATTTTATATAATACCTGCCCTCAATAAATATTTTCTATTACTATTTTATTTGAATATAATAATAATAATAATAATAATAAACATATGCTGATTTTATATATAAAAATTATTATTATTATAAAATGTATATAAATAAATATAAATAAAAATGGTGTGAACTTTACTGGTAAATCAATTAAATAATAATATACCTATGCTATTCAATTATTCGATCTAACCGATTTGTCCGTGTCCATTGTCCACTGTCCACCTGAGTTCAGTTTTATGGCTTTATAGTTGCCTTTTTTTTGTCGCCTTTTTCTTTTTAATGTCATTGACATAATTACGTTGAAGGGAATATGTTAAATCCCCACTATATCTCACGGAAAATGGCTCATGAGTTAAAGTTACGCATACCCTCACAACAAACTGCATACTCGTCACCAAGGGCATCCAAGTATGGTTGAGATACTTTCTTGGCTTCTTCCTACCAATAGAGATAATCGCAATTACATTGATACCAATTTAATTATAAATCTTTTAATTGGATCAATTTAATTTTAAACATTTTCACATAGATAATAATTCAATCTAACAGGCCAATTTAGATTGGAAATCACTAACGTAAACGCCGATCGTCCTACGTGAGACAGCTGACACTAACATAGATAGTTCTTTTAATTTTTAATTTTTTAATCAATCGTTATTAATTTCCCTTTTTCTTTTTTTTCCTTTTTTTTTACTTCTCGCTGGCGACCGACCACAGGCGAGGATCGGCAAAGGCATCATGACCCTTGCCCAGGCCGTGAGGCGCAATCTTTGGAGAAAAATGGAATGTATATTTGAGACCTTTCAACTGTTCGAAAGATTTCTAAGATCTCTGTGCCCGGCTGAGCCGCAACTCTTCGTCGTCCCTAAAAATGTGGATTCCTGCATCGCTCATGAACTCATAAAGGCAATTTGTGAACGTGTTGTGAGCGTCGGATCCTTGAAAACTCAACAACACGTCATAGTCGCCACTGGTTGTAGCCCGTGAGTTGGCCTCTTTTGGGGTCCTTAAGGAGATTTCTACGGCAAGAGCAGGTACGATTAAGATTGAGGAGCAACTTCCCACTCTCTTTCCTTCCGCCTAATTTGACTAGTACAACTCCTTTCAAGCTTATCGTTGTTAAGATGTCACGTCAGCGTGTCATGTCATCAATAGGAAAATGCTAAATAATCCCTTCCAACAGTCTTTCTATTCCTACTTGGTCATTTAATTTATATAACACCCACCCTCAATAAATATTTTTCATTACTATTTTATTTAATAAAAATATTAATAACAATAATAAGAATTATATATCAATTGTATATATAAAAAAATTGTAGAAAAGTGCATAAAAAAATGGTGTTAACTTTTTACTTTTAAATCAATAAAATACTAAAATGCCCTATTCAATTATTAGTCCATGTCCATTGTCCACCTAGGACAATTTTGTTGCTTTTCTTGTTGCCTTTTTTTTTCTTTTTCTTTTTGATCTCACCTATATAATTACTTCAAAGGAAATTTGTTAGATTCCCAATATATTTAACAGAAAATGGCTCGTGAAGTTAATGTATGGATATCGATTAATCAAACATAAATGTTGTTACAGCTGTCACGACAACAGTTGAAACCTTAAGCGATAGCCTGTGGTGTGAGCAAACATTTGATGCAAACTTATGCCTTAGTGTCCACTAAGATCCTTCTTGGCACTTCGTGCACTTGAACGTGAAACCATAGTCTGCAAGCAATGGCTACCTCCCTTCAAAGGGTAAATCCTCGTCTATGTATGAAATGGTGACCTGAAAGATTTCAGGATTTCTCGCAACTCGGTTAGGCATATGCTCACTATAAGAGAAAGAGCTGCATTGCTTTTCACCTAAACTAGCATAAATTCATCCGAGCATATGCTAACCAGCCAGATTAAGCCACATGAAATTACCTCTTCTCCCTTCGAAATTGGCTTCAATGCCACTATCGTTGCTTGACCATCTCTATCCTGAAAAGGCAGCAACAATTAAATCACTTCTGCCGCATCATTTGCATTCTCCACCCACTCAGGTGTCCATGAACAGGAATAGGTTCGACATAGCATAGAACAGATATAGACGATGTTATGTTGAAGAAGGCATGACTTCACCAATCTAAAGTTTCAAAAGCATGAGTGAATCTCATAAATGATTATCCAGCCCAGAACATGCAAGTTAGGGATAAAAGGCAACATTGTGTGAATTTGTAAATTTGTATCTACGTGTGAATCTGTAAATTTGTATCTACAAACGACAAAAGCGGTTGATCTTCAAATGCTGAAGAGTTCAACAGAAACAATGTGATCTAGCTCAGGCCTTGTTACATGTACGTAATTGAATACACGAACCGCTAATGGAATAATTATAACAGCAATTGGGTTTAGTATGAAGAGGGATTCTTCAAGCTAGAATCACAACCAAATCAAGTCCTTGCAGTTAAAATTACGCATACCCTTACAACAAACTGCATACTCATCACCAAGGGCATCCAAATATGGTTGAGATACTTTCTTGGCTTCTTCCTGCCAATAGAGACAGCGGCAAATGCATGAACTACCAAATTTTGTGACAGGTGTTAAAGACTGAAATGTTCATCATATATACCTTCTCAGGAGATGATAGATCATTGATAAACAAAAAGTAATCTTCCACAGAAGATGCTACAACCAGATCACTGTGACAAACCAAAACCAAATAAAATTCTTAAATGCCCCAAGCAGATTATCATGAGTAAGGCACTCATACAACACGAGTCATAGATGTCAAGGAGACCCAGACAGCTGTATTTTCTTATGTAAGTAGACATGTCATATAATTGAAACCTTCTATTTCTGTGTGCTTTGATGCAAAAAGGGAATTGAGAAAAAAAGGAAAATTGCAATTACGAACTAGTTGCGTGCTTAATCTACTGTTCAAGACATAAAGTAGGAAATATTCAATCCATGATAAGTCAAAAACTTAAATATTATTCAGCTCAAACATTCCAATGATATGCCCATAAATGTCAAGTGAAAATACTGTGTAGAGTCAAGGAACCGAGCCTCATATACTATAGTACCGTTTGAAAGCCACAAAAGAAAGATAACTGAAAATCAGCAAACGCTGACGGTTCTTGAAAGGATACGTGTTTCGCATTCTTTGTCAAAATAGCTGCCTTCAGAAGTTGCAATGATTGAAAAAAAAAATGAATGACTTATCAGGAAAATGACCATACAATGCAGAAGATCACTGAAATGTAAAGTGATAAAAAGAAAAAGGAGAGACTTTTGTCTTCTCCTTTCGCACAAGAATTGACTATTTGACATTCTCTAGAAAGAGGTAGCAGGTATCCATAAGCCACTTTTTAGAATGAGCAACTGGGCTTGAGCACTGATCCCCATCTACAATACCCCTGAACTTCTGAAAGGTGCTTGAGTATGGTAGTGATCTTACAGAGAAAAAGAAAAACCAAACCAAAAGTATAAAAAGGCAGCACGTAGGATAATGAAGCGGTTGAGATTTTCTTTCTCTAATGAGCAAAGAGAAATTCACTATGAGGCGCCCAGGAGGTGCCAATCCATTTACAAAAGGATGCTGGTGAGTAGTTGGGCCTGAGTCCACTTCACCTTGCTGAATAACAAAAACTATTAGCAAACTTAGCATGGAAAGGTAAAGAAGAACTAAAGAGTGGAATGCAACCAACAAAATAATGATCAAGCATCACCAAGGAACACTGCTACAGGAGCAGACTCATAAGATGCAGCTCAATAAGATTCATTTACCTAATTACAGACCAGTATGGGAACTTTCAAAATCCCAACCTATCATTTTTTATATTGTCACAGAAATCTAGAGTCTTTTCTTTCCAATATCAAATCTCCTACCAGTCACAAAAAGGAGGTTCGTATTCATAATTTAACAATCACACAGTGAACAACTAGAAGCAAAATTGGCTAAAATTACCCAATACAATCCTCTTAAGATGCAACATCTCAAAGAATTTTTTTTACCTCAAAGGCAAGCTCTTTAATTTCCATCCTAAATACAGCTTCTTTAGAAGGATCAACATCCTCTGGCAATGCTATGCATTCCCACCACCTAAATTCAATTATAGTGGTAAATATATGCTCACCTGTTTGACAAATAAATCTTGAATAGGTGAAGCCTGACAGAAAAATTACCTTCTCTTGTGTCCAAATGATATCGGCTTCCATGCTTCTAAAAGTAAGGGCATATGAAAGTTGTCCATAACATGAGCCATGTCCTTCATATAACTTTTCAGAAAATTTGCTTTTTGACTTACTTTACCTTAATATAGTGTATGCAATTGCCTGAAAAATGAAAACCAATGTATTAGCTATCCGCACCAGTTTTATTAAACACATGCAGTAGAGATTCTCTAGACTGAAAAATCAAGGAACCATATTTATAACCTTGTTATAAAGAAACGACATAAACTTTGCTTGGTGCATGGTCTGCTGAAACCAACCAAGAATAAGAACAGTCAAACTACATGATAATATTCTATGATCCAATTGCTCTGTGATAATAAAGCGTGTGACAATATATGATCTAGCATTTTCTTATCAAGTGGGTCACCCAGATAGACAAACGAGTTAACAATAACTAACTATATTAGGCTAATGTGACAAAAAGTTATTTTCCCTCAGCAGATATGTCTTTTAAACAAGACCCCAGAGAAAGAATAAAATACGAAATTCAAAACCTCGCTTAGCCGCCTACATTTCCAACCAGGAAGGGCAATTTAACAAGATGGTACATAATAAATCGCTAATATCAATAATTGATATCAATATTTTGGTAGTTCATATAGTTCAAACATGACTATCCATCCAATTCCTCCTTTACCGATCCCCAACAGAAATAACAAGTAGTTGAGTGACACTCATTCAAAAGATGAAATCATGGTCAATCTTGAAAATGTGCCCAACATTACAGATATAATTGTCACAGAAAAAACTGCAACAGAACCTTTCTTTGCTAGAAGAACATCTTCATTTTGCATCACCAGAAAAAATTACAAGAAATAGGATTGGGAAATAACTTAAGAGGAATAAGAAACGTGGAAACTACTGGTAGAAGAAACGTACTTCGGCTGCCAGAATGAAAATATCATTTGTTTCTGCAGTGAAATGAGAAAATGTAAAAGAAGGATCAATAAAAGATAACTAATTAGAAAATTGAAACCTATCGGCAACACAGATTAAGAGCTTTACCATTAGCACGTCGTATGAATTGGAGAAGAGAGCCTTTGTGGAAAAGGCTTCTGACTTCTCTCCAGTGCACAGTAAACAATTAAATGAATTCCAGTCAGCATCTGCACACACTTTGCTAAAAAAGATTGTCGACATTACTGAATCAACTAATTCACAAACTAGCCCCATAAGAAAAACATAACTAATTCACAAACTAGCCCCATAAGAAAAACATACTTACAGAAAGATCCATACGTGACTTAAGAAAATAAAATATCAAAATATGTAACTCAAAAACATAATGGCAATACTGCTAATACACATACAGCTCATTTGTTGAATTTAATTTCAAGATTTGCAATAAAAAAAACTTTTGGTGCCAGGACTAAGGTAAGCACCTTCTCCTGTATTTATCTCTTGGAAAGTGGCCTCTTTGCGCATAAATTAACAAAGTACTGTCATAATCAAAAAGAAATCTAAACATCAAGGACATTTCTTTCCATACTCATGCTTTTGGTTTTTTTTATACTAATACGACTTGCTTCTAAGCAGGAATATAGTGAGACCCAAATCTCAGGGTAAAGAATATATCAAAGCCCCCATACCTGCGATAGTAAGCTTCTTGACATCCCCCTGAACATGGAATAACTGATGGCAAGGAAAATCCGTCCAAGTATGGCAATACTAATTCACCATTCATCAGTGATTCAACAATTTCCTTGGGCAGAGGAACTTTTGCTCTCTTGCTTCCCGAAGCACATCCACGAGAGTCATCATGATTTTTCCCATCCATGGTGTTGTCTCCATCAGATGAGTCGGATGCACCATGATCATTTGAACCATCGGAGTGATTACATCCATGGCTTGAAGAGAGACCTAAATCTTTAAGAAACATAAAAAAAACAATCTTCTTCCAATTTGAAGTTCTAATTTCCCAATAAAGAGAAAACAAAAGCTACATACTAGAAAATCAATCTGCAATAACAAAAGAAAAGGAAGTGTAAAACTTGTGCATGATCAAAAGTCCCGACAAGTGCACATCAGGATCCTTGCCAGCAAAACCTCATTTGAGGGATGTTGACACCCAAAAAGCATTTGATCCCTTAAAAGAAGCTCCCCTTCTTTAAAGTCCACATCAGCATAAAAACCTGCAAAACAATAATCCGTTAGATGCTCAATGGTGGAAAGCAGACTGCAGAAGCCACTGTGCAAGAGCTCCTTCATCACATTAACTATGCAAAAAAAAATCCAATTCAACAGCACGTGAAATTTTGAAACTTGACCCCGTTTTGCCTGATCAGAAACTACCTAATTAAGATGGAGGAACAACATAATGTAAAGTGATAGCAAGTGGCTGATCGCACAGAGCTAACCTAGATTAAATTGGGTGCCTAGAATGGACTCTCCTAATTAGGCCAAACAAATGAATTTACTTGCTCTCATGACTTCAGAAAACCAAACAGCACACAGAGATTCTCCTTTACTTCCCTCACCATCCAGTAGGGAGCATCTCGCATTTCTTGGCGCACACTTTAAGTAGTAAAGTTTGTAGCTTTCCGGTTGATGTCATTTCTTTGCACATTTCATCTCTCTCCATTGGCACTCGTGCACTTGCGAATTTCTCCTGAGAACTATCAATGAAAATGGATGACGAGCTAAACGTGTCGCCAACAGCACAACCAATTTCACAACGGCAAATTGCCGTCTAAGGGGGAACAGCAACTTCCTCCGACCGATTAAACGTCCGAGCTTGAAGCATACGAGCACAATTAGCAAACCTAGGGCCTCCTCCCAGAACTCAACAAGAAGATAGTTAGCACAATGCCGAGCGTAAGAACTCGCGAACGACGGCGTATCGAGTAGTTGATCGGTCTACCTTTCCCGAATTCGCCATCTTGTTTCGCCCTCGAGGCCACAGCACCCCCCGCAAGGCTAAAAGGGCAGAGAAACACCTGGATTTCTCGAGGAGGAGGAGGTTGGCGAAGAGCGGGAGATTTCAGGGGGCACTCTTCAGCCAGGTATTATTGCTCCGTTTATTTCGCGGAAATTTAACATTTCTAAAAAAGTATTCCTTGACAAATCATTTTAAGAAAAAGATGATATTTTCTATAATTTTGGTGATGGCGGTGGCAGCGCATGTTCAATATTTAGAGAAAATAAGAAAAATTTCAAATAAGAACATAAAGTACGGTCATTTTCTCAAAAAATGACTACATTAGACTTTATTTCAAATAAGCACATGAAGCAACTCTTGTTTATTATGCCCATTTAGGGCCCGTTTGACAACTTGCCAAATAGTGAAAATTTCTGCTCTTTTGTTCCTATAGTTAGTTTGGGAATAGAAATCCCTTCGTTAAAATTTTTGTGCCCGTGCACAACTTTGCAAAAAATTGATCCCAGAATCAGTTTTGGAACAGAATCAAGAAGCAATTTACTTCTTGATTCTGGGAACAATTTTTCCATTTCTAATTCTTCTTGATTTTTTTCTTCTTTCTTGGTTTGAGTTCTTCTCCCCAACCTGCCACCGGTCGGCCACAGGCCAGGGCCGGCGAGGGCAGCTCGTAGCCGTGACGACGAGGCCTCGCTGCCGGCCTTGCCCGTCGTGACGGCGAGGTCAACCTCGCCTTGGCTGAGCGAGACTCGACCTCACCTAGATCTAGCGAGGCCGACCTTGCCGTCGCGACCCAGGCAAGGGAGATGGGTCGGCGACGTGGGCGGCGGCAAGGGCTACGACACCTCGCCGGCCCTGGCCTGTGGCCGGTCACCGGCGCCGGTGACCGGCCATGGCCAAGGAAGAGAAGGGAAAGAAAGAAAAAAAAAGAAAAAAAGAAAGAAAGAAATATTAAAAAATTCAAAATATTATTAATAAAAAGAAATTTGTGTAGTCACCAGACGCATTTCTGTTCTTTTTCTATTCTAGAATAAAAATTTTGGGCAGTTAGCAAATGCCTTCAAATGCTTAGAAATTGTTCCCGGGCACGGAATAAAAAAAAAATCATTTCTGAACAGAATCAGATTCTGAGCACAGAATCAGATTACGGGCACAAAATCGTTGCCTTGCGCACCCTTAGTCACAAAGTGGGGAGACAAAAACTTCTGGGCTAAGATAATTTCCGTTGAGCACAGTGAGAGGTGGTCGCACCACGGTCTTTTTCTAACAAAGTGGCATGCAAGGACTAGTTGTGTTGTGTGTTGGTAGATTTCTTGTGTGAAAATGGAGAGCATGAACAAAATAGTTTGTTTGAATAGCACAAATTATCATCCATGGATTACTAAATGGTAAGATCTATAATTCGTGGAGTCATTGCATCTTCCGGTGTTTGCTGCTGATAAACCCGAATCCAAAAGTGACGAGGATTGGCCATACGAGGTTTGTGAATTTATTCGGGAATATGTAGATGATAATGTATATGATCTCACTTGCAATGAAATGCGTGAACTTTGCTGTCAAAAGTAGAATAGTTGTTTGCCTCCAAAACTGGAAAATAACAAGTTATCTGCTTAAGAAGATGAAGATGATGCATTTGAAATACAGAGGGATCACTGTTGCCGATTACTTCAACGAATTTTAAGGGACAATTGAGACATCAGATTTGATAATAAAGTTCTTGGTTTGTGGTTACTTTGTGCCCTCCAAGAGTCGTGGGAAGCTTGTAGAGCCGTACTTGCAAGTTCCAGTGTTGTTGTTTCCGCGAAACTTGCCAAGAGTGGCGTCTTGAATGAGGAGTTAATTGTTTCAGGGAAATCTCAGGGCTCATCGTCCCAATCCGGGGCACTGGTCACAGAATGACAACGGAGGAACATATTTTGCAGCCCCTAATATAACGCTGGCTGTAGCAAATCATGGGGGAGTTCCAACTCGGGAAAAGGAGTCAACTGTTTCCATTGTGCTAGCCAGGTCACATGAAAAGAGAGTGCGGATTGCCCGAGAGGGAGCAGAAGCAGGGTGGAAAGGAAAAGACAGAACCAAAAGATTCTGCAGCAGTTGCATCTGGTAGTGATATATAACTGATGTCTGTGACAATGGTTATGTTAATCTTACAAGCCAGGATGCTACATGAGTATTTGATCCAGCTGCCTCGTTCCGGGTTACTTCAAGATGAGATTTCTTTACAACCTACACTGCCGCTGCTACCCTTTTAGAAAGGGAAATGACTGGGTAGCCAAGATCATTGGCATTGGTTACATCTGTTTGGAAACCAACATCCTATGCAGGCTGCTACTAAGAAATGTCCAACATGTTCCAGACATTCATACTCAGTTGATCTCCACTGATCGACTTGACCATGAAGGCTAACATAGCCACTTCAGTGAAGGTAAAGGGAAGCTCACCAAACGTCCTTTGGTGGTGGTGAGAGGTGTCAAATCAAGCACTCCATATATGATAGAAGCTCGATTGTGCCCTAGTGAGGTAAATGAAGTCGAGGACACCTTAGTTGAGTTGTGGCACAGGCGGCTTGGCCACATGAACGAGAAGGGACTGCAAATCCTTGCCAGAAAGAAAATCCTGCCTTCGAAAGATGCTGCTTTAAAACTCGTTGTCTAGCTGCAAACAACATAGAGCTGCATTTCGTAGTTCTTATCCTTCTAGAAGATCGCATGCACTAGAGCTTGTTCACGCTGATGTATGCACGATGGATGCTAGAACTTTTGGTGCTGCACTATATTTTGTTACACTTACTGATGATTACTCTAGAAAAGATTTATTTGCTTTGAAGCCAAGGATAAAGTACTCGTGTATTCAAGCAGTTTCAAGTCGAGGGCAGTGGGAAGGAAGATGAGATGTGTTTATGCAGGTAACGATGGCCGAGGTCCCTTTTGAGAAGTTCTGCAGAAATCATGGCATCAGGTTGGAGAAGATTGCTCCAAAGACTCCACAACAGAACGGTATTGCAGAGCAAATGAACTGCACCATTTCGGGAGAATTCGGTGCACCATTTTTTCATGTTAAACTCCCCAATCCATTTGGGGTGAGGCAATGAGAACTGCAGTGGATTTGATCGACCTTTCTCCTTCAACTCATTTAAATGGTGAAGTACTAGAAAGAGTTTGGACAGGGACAAATGTCTCTTGCAAGCACTTGAGAGTGTTTCGCTGCTAGAGTATTTGTGTGCATCCGGTGCGATGGGAGGTCGAAGCTTGCTGTGAAGTCCAAATAGTGCATCCTACTGGGTTCTGCTCATGAAGATTCTGATTACAGGTTGTAGGATCCAGTGGAAAAGAAAATTATCAGGAGCCATGATTTAGTATTCGTGATTTCGTGAACATCGAGAAGCCAAAGTCAGATTCCAGAACTGAAGTCGATCTGCAAACATTACCTCTACCACTATCCTTGATGAAGGGGGAGTTGACCAAGATGATGGTCCTCCTACAACAGAAGAACCTGCACTTCAAGATGATGTGGCAGAAGAGCAGATTCATGAAGTCCCTCCAATTTGGCAATTTATGAAAATCTGCATCCAAAGTCCTGCACGAATGACCGTCAATTATCAGTTAGCCTGTCAGTTCACTGAAAATCAATCTACGGTATAAAGATCATCAAGAAGAAGAAGATAGCCGAAAGGGGTAAGGTGTATCACTCGGTACAATATCCGGGCGGAGACTTCTTTTGTCTGGTGGATAGGGAATCAGGGAAAAGCCAGAGACAAGAAGAAAAGACGGGCTTACTTGTGATGATGACCTCTCCTCCGGGCGTAGCGGTTCAACAGAACATGCGAGTGTACATATCTTTGAAGAATTGATAGGCTTCTTGCACTGTTGGTGTTTCTACATCGATGGCCTCTCGCAACCACTCCACGACCAAGACAGATTCCCTTATCAGGCGAGTCTTTTGCTTAAAATCAAGTGGGCCATCAAGGAACGCAAAAGCCTGTTCTAGCACGTAGTGACAATAATTCAGCTTTGTTTTAGGAAGCGGGCTCAAACTGTACTGGCAAGCATAGAAGTAGCCCGAATACATCAGCAAACGCTTATCTAAGTATTATCCAAACATAACCGATCTGATAGATTTCGCTTCCTCGTCTCTCGATCTACCCCAGCGTGTTTTTCTCAGTAGGAGAAGCATGCAGTTCTTGAAGCTTCTTCTTGACGCGGAACCATGGACCTGAGTGGCCTTCTCATGCCAAAAGTTGAACATTCTAATGGAATATTGGAGTTTTTCGCTCGAGCAAGGACTTTGCAGTAGCAGAGAGTGAGACCGCAAGCTTGGGAGTGAGAATTTGGTTAAGATCTCCAGATTCTCCACCGTAGTATACCTATCTTCACATAAGGTCATTGAAACCATAACGGAAATCTGTGGAGACGGATCAACACTTTCCAAACAAAGCAGACTGGGACTGAATCCTCCGTTCTCCGAGGTTATAGACATACAATGATTGCAGAATTCTAAAGAGAGCAGTACCTCGTTTTTTCTTTGAAAGTCATGCATCCACTTGGATACCCGCTTTCTTTCCAACCAGGACGCAAGCATTAAAATCAGATTTTTCAAGTACAGAATTGGTTCAGATGAGCTCATTATCCCGGTGTCCCAAAGTGGGAATTCCGCAGCAATATCTATCCCCAAATCTGATACGCCAGAAAAGATGACCCTCGCTGAAATCTTAGGTGGGCACCTTCCTGAAAAGTGATGCTCATGAAATCCTGGCGTTACAACTGTACTCGACCCCTGATTAAGATTTCCATTGGATAGTCTGGGAGTCTCACAGAGAATATTGCATCTTTGAACCGGTCATCTGGTTCCAGTATTCTTCCAGGGTCCAAGCGATACTCGATACCTTGCATGAGAAACCGACACCCCATCAGTCGTGTTTTTGTCTTACTACAGTTTTATCAATAATGTCCGACCTTCGAGGTTCCAAAGCGAAGGAGGCAGTTCCTCGATAGATGTCCCAGATAGATCCAATTCAGTCAAGGACTTTAACTCTCCAACCGCATCCGGCAGCGACTTTAGATGCGTACAATTCGCCAAACACAAGTACTCAAGATCCACTAGCCCTTTAATTGTGTCTGGAAGTTTAACTAATCCTACAGCCTCCATTACTAGCCTTGACAAAAGTCTTAAATTACTGATGGAGTCTGGCAAATAACGAACACGATAATTTTCTATCAAGATGAGCTCTCTCAGGCCACTTACACAGCTTATTTCCTCGGGCAACTCTCTAAGACACGGACAACGTTTGATTTTAAAGTAAATCAACTGCTCTAGTTTACCAATCGAGCGATCAATTTCGGCCAACCTTGGGAAATCTTTCAGAACCAATCTCTCCAAACTCATCAATTCAGAGAAGCAAGGTGTTTTAATTAAGGATTTAGATCGCGCAAGTTGCAAAACTTTCAGTTTACTTGGCACCTGCAAAACAGCAACCAACTTAATTCTGTCAAGGCTTCATATGCATTGCAAAATAGGTGCATGTCATCACTTATTCAGATGATTAGTTGAAAGAGTAAATGAATCAGGTGAAATTGTACCATGATTTCGACCCATCTGCTCCATTCTTCTGTGGTGATATTGCCTGAAAGCTTGAGAACAACTAGGTGATTCAACACAAAGTTGTTTGCTTGCAGTTGCGAAGGACAATTTCGCCAACAAAGCCATCTTAGCTCTGGCAAAATATTCTCAAAGTTGCCGGCAAAGTTCCCTCCGTCCAATTCAAGAAACCTCGCATTCGTGAAATTCGCAAAATTTTCCAGTGTAAAATAGAGTCTTGTTCTCCGTAGTGTGCGTGCTACCACATTTTTTGCTCCCTGACAAGTAGGAAAACGAAGTTAATAGCCACTAATAGTATCACAAGTATACGCAACATCGTGCATATACATACACTTTTTAGTTCTTTTCATGTAATGAACTGACTGTGTCACATGCGCCATGCCCTTAAGATAAATATTTTGAGTGACCACATGAGGAGAATACTATTTGGGGTGGATATTGACTTATGAATCACTCTACTATATAGTTGCTTGCAAAGTTTTATATCTCTTTTATCTCATTTACATATCCGTTTGATACAAGCATCCACATTGATTTAACTGTTTTTGCGTCTACTAAAGTATTCTGACAAGCATTCCACGAAAAGTTTTTGATCTATTTAAACAATCTTTTCACCCCCATTTAGGTTATTGTGTTGGCTCTAACAACTTCCATGGAATCAAATACAATCATTAGTATGGTACAAATATTTAATATTATTCAAAATAATAGCTCGAAAAAATAGTATATATTTTCATATAGGATTAATACCACGAAAAACCCCAAACTGGTACACATATAACAATTTTACCCCAAACTAATTTTTTGACCACCAAAAACCCCACACTGATACACTTGTGACAATTTTACACCGAACTAATTTTTTAATCACCAAAAACCCCTAACTAGTACGCCTATAACAATTTTAACCCAAACTAATTTTTTGACCACTAAAAACCCCAAACTAGTACATTTATGACAAATTTACGCTCCGTTAGTGTCCATTAAATTGGATTAATATCATGAAAATCACAAATTGATAAAACTTGTGACAAACATAGGGGTAAAACCCTAAACGGGTACACCTGTCAACTACCACGTGTCATTAAACTTAGCAATTTGACAGTAAAATTTAACGGAAACTAACGAATGATAAATTTGTCACAGGTGTACCAGTTTGGGATTTTCGGTTGTCAAAAAATTAGTTCGGGGTAAAATTGTCACACATATACCAGTTTAGGATTTTTTGTGGTCAAAAAAATGGTTCGGGGTAAAATTGTCACAGATGTACCAGTTTGGGGTTTTTTGTGATCAAAAAATTAATTTTGGGTAAATTTGTTACAAATATACCAGTTTAGAATTTTTCGTGGTATTAACCTTTTCATATCAAAGCATAAATTCAATCATCAATTATGCCCAATTTCAAACAATAAAGATATATCAAATTTCATAGAAATCAATACTATATCTATTTAGTATGGATCCGAACTCATTGCTCAAGTCAAACACTACAGTCGCACTTCGTTAGGCGACAAAGCCCAAAAACCATATCGTGGTTAAGCCACAAAACAGAATTGAACTATGCACACTTATAAATTTCAATTTTCATATTGTGTAATTATCACATAGGTAGATCATTAGCAAAAATAAAAGCACACATTAACTAAAATAACATTTTTTCCTAATAGTAATATATAAAAAAGCTATCGATGGGCAAAATAATTTCACTTTTACATTATGAATAATTCAATGGAATATCAGAAGTACTAGAGAGCCACCTACCTCCTGGAATCAACCCGAATAAATACCATTCTTCTCCGTAACCCCAGACCATTCCTTTTGTACCCCAATTAAACCTTTTCTCCTCTTTTTTCTTTTTCTCTTTTTTTTAAAGTTAAAACCATAGCATATATGTCTACACCTAACTCTACGTCTAGAATTGGCATAATACAAAAATCAGAACAACCACAAACTTTATCTGTACCTGTAAATTCCAATAGTCATCCGATAATATTCTTCTAACCACAAAAACTTCGACTTTGCAAGAAATTAAATTCCTATATTATTTATGTCTCCTTAAATCACAGACGTTCACATCCAAAGGAAATTACAGTTAATCTGTTTTTCCCTCCCTAAATATCAGATTAGAAACCTAGATTAATCTCCATTATAAGCATCCCACACAACATCGAAAGAAACCATCTGTTTATGAATCTTAACTTCTCCTCTTTCTCACTTCCACCATTATTAAAGGATGCTTCTACTTCAATTTCAAATTTCCAGAAAAAGTGTCGGAAAAATCCTAAATCTATGGCAATTGTGTCAATTTAGTCCTAAACCTTTTTTTGGTGCCAATTTAGTCCTAAACCTTGACATAATGCCAATTCAGTCTTTCCGGCTAATTTTTACCGGATATTGCTGACGTGGATGCCGGTCGGCCTACGTGGAACGGGCGGTGCTGACGTGGATAACTTTTAATAATATTTTAATATGTTTTCGATTATTTATTTATTTTTTATTTTCTTTTCTTTTCTTTTCTTTTTTTTTCCTCCCCTCCCTTCTTCCTCCAGCCGGTCGCCGACAAAAAAAAAGGAAAAAGAAAGAAAATAAATAAATAAAAAGAATAAATAAATAAATAATTCTAAAATATTAAAATATTATTAAAAGTTGTCCATATCAGCATCACTCATGCCAAATAGGTCGGCCGGCATTCACGTCAGTAATATTCGGCCAAAATTAGTCGAAAAGACTAAATTAGTACAGGTTAAAAGGTTTAGGACTAAATTGGCACTAAAAAATGGCTTAGAACTAAATTGACACAAATGCAATAGGCTTAGAACTTTTCTAACACTTTTACCTTAGATTTCCAATAACATCTAATTGCAAACTTAAATACGCCCTCCAACAATCCATAATCAAAGGAATTATAACTATTTCTTCCAATAATCCACGGAATACCTACAACTTTATAAAAGATGGAAATATTGATGATTATTCATATAGTTTAGTAACTATCTATCGCAAATTTTAAGGGGATCAACGCCAAAAAAAGGAAAAAATAGACAGAATGTCAATCCTCGAAAATATAAGAAAATCTTTACCTCACAAATAACTTTTCTAGAACCATAAAGCATAATCAGCCTCCAAGAAATCATTATAGCTCTCCTACCCACAAAATCATCTAAGAATTACTTCCCTGCCCGTTACATCTAGTTCTAATGTAAGGTCTTGCATTTTATTTGAGATAAATAGCTAGTAACTACGAAAAATAATCAAGATTTCCATCTTTGATAAGGTTCTAGATATTTTGTGGATTATTAGAAGAAATAGTTGTTTATAATGCCCTTAATTATGGGCGAATTTATGTGTTTGATTAGATGTTATGGAAATTTGAAATTGAAGTAGAAGCATCCTTCGATGAATATGGAAGTAAAAATGAGGAGAAGTTAAGATTCATAAGGAGACGATCTCTTTAGTTGTTGCATGGGATGCTTATATCGGAGATTAAGCGAGGTTTGTAATTTGATATTTGTGGATCAAGGAACGGATAAAAAGGATTATCTCCAATTCCTTTTGGATGTGAATGTCTTTTTCAATCGCTCATTAAACCTTAGATACTTTTTTTTTGGGTTCGATGTGCAGTATCTAGATAGAACAAGATAGATTTTGCTACTTTATATGAAAAACCTCATCATATATCAATCAGAAAAATTGTAAAGTTAAAAGATAAATTGTATAGGTATGAACATGTAATGGAAAAGTTCAAATGGTCTTTTAAACAAAATTTCTATTGAGTTCAGATATATTTATCTTATTTAAATACTTTGGAAAATTGGTGCACTATTTATTGGTGAGAAAAATCAGGTAATTAGCAAATTTCTCTTTTAAGGAAAACATAATTAATTCACAAGTCTTTTATATTACACGGGCTACTAAGCTAGCAATAAACGAAGAAGGGAATGTGCAAGGGAGATGAACTCTAAGACGTATAGAAGAGTAGGGAGGAATATAATAGTGTTGTTCGTACTTACCTTTTTAGCTCTTACCACGTCTAAAGCCATCACAGAAGACCACAGTCTGCTTCGATTTCCAGGATTTCGAATATTCTCAGAAAACCACAATCTGCTTCGATCTCGGATATTCTCATAAAACCACAATCTGCTTCGATCTCCAGGATTTCGGATATTCTCAGAAAACCACAATCCGCTTCGATATCCAGAATTTTGGATATCCTCTTGACGAATAATTTCCTTCCCAAGATCTCTTGTCTCATCATTCATCTGTATTCTATCAAGATTATCTTTTGAAATCAAGGACTCATTGATAAGGACATCAATTTGGACCTCCGGGCAAAAGTGACAGGCTTCCCACATATACATTGCATTGGAAATTTTCTTGTTAACAAAGAAACATGCAATGTCTAGAAAAATTTGTTTCGCCTCATGTCCAAGTGCATCATAACTCGACATTAACTTCTGGGGGATTCTTTGGAGGGGCACTTCCGTCCGCTTATTTGGTGTGCTTTTCCACACCGCTTCGTCTTTAGGTCCCCATGGTGTTCTTATCTCACTACTGTTTATCTGTATTGCCAGATCTTGGAGATTCCAAATCGAAGGAGGTAGCTCCTTGATAGTAGTCCCAGATAGATCCAACTCAGTCAACCACCATAACTTCCCAATACCATTCGGCAAACTATTTAGACTCGTGCAATTCACCAAAGACATGTACTCAAGAGCCACTAGCCATTTGATGGTGTGCGGAAGTTCAACTAATCCTGAATCCTCCATTACCAGCCTTGACAAATCTCTTAGATTACCGATAGAGTTTGGCAGAAAACGAACGCTACAACCCTGGATTAAGATGAGCTCTCTCAAGGCAGTTAGACAACCAATTTCCTCGGGCAACCCTCCAAGATGCGGACACCATTTGATTTTCAAGTAATTCAACCGCTCTAGTTTACCAATCGAGCGATCAATTTCAGTCAACCTTGGGAAATCTTTCAGAACCAATCTCTCCAAACTCACAAATTCAGAGAAGCTAGGTGTTTTGATAAAGGATTTAGATCCCGCGAGAGTCAAAACTTTCAATCTACTTGCCACCTGCAAAAACACTCAATACTGTCACGTTTCGATATGCATTGCAAATAGGTGCATGTCATTATATATCCAGATGATTAGTGGAAAGAAGAGATGAATTAGGTAAAATTGTACCATGATTTCAGCCCATCCGCTCCATTCTTCTATGATGATATTGCCTGAGAGCTTGAGAACAACTAGGTGATTCAGCACAAAGCTGTTTGCTTCAAGTTTTGGGGGACAATTTCGCCAACAAAACCATCTTAGCTCCGACAAGATATCCTCAAAGTTTCCAGCAAAGTTCCCTCCATCCAATTTAAGAAACCTCACGTTTGTGAGATTTGCAAAATCTGTGCGTGTAAAATTGGGTACCGATCTTCGTCGTGGGAGTGCTACCGCATTCTCTGTTCCCTGATGGAAAATATAGTATTAAATTGTGTCTCTTGACTTGAGCAATGAGTTGGGTTCCATTAATTATCAAATATAATACTAATCTCTATGAAATTGATAATTCTTTATGCTTTTGCGTGAAAATATATAATATTTCTTCGAAGTGTTATTTCTAATATTTATTAAAATGTTTACTCTATGATAAAGACAGTCTTTGATTATATGGAAGTGATGTTTGTTGCTCACTTAGCTAGTAGTCCGCTTAATGAGCAGTGAAACTGGCCTATTTTTACAGTTCTTGCCAATGTTGGGTAGGATTGAGGAACGTTGAGTTTAATTTTATTAGAACGCATAGCGGAAGGGTGGATATTTTTTTTATATTTATTTTTGTGGATGTAAGAACTTCCGTGATTATAATTTTAGCAGTCAATTTTGATGGAGTTGAAGTTTGTAGACTTTGGTGCAAAAGAATAATTTTCTAGTATTATTTGAAGGATTGTGTAATCAATATTTACGGTTTAAGTCATCAACTAGCGATTTCGAGTTTGGATTCAAGAGTTGTGAAACTCGGTGTCACATATCCACTCATGATTTAATTCACAGTAACTCGTTAGAGAGTTAAAGGAAACATGACCCCGCTTACTAAATTGGAATCAGATTTTTGAAGAGAAATTTTTTTCAGTTTTATTAGACATTAATAATTACTAACGTAACCTTTTAAAGAATACTTTTTTATAGTACTCTCGACACCCAATAGTGTCACAAAACTTTAGACGTTTTTTTTTTGGTTCGAACGTGCATTATCTAAATAGAACAAGATATATTTTGCTGCTTTATATTAAGAAAACCTCATCATATTGTATTGGTATGATTATGTAATGGAAAGTTCAAATGGTCTTTTAAACCTAATTTATATTGTTTTCAGATATTTTTACCTTATTTAAATAAGCAAAAATGGGGTGCACTACTTATTGACGAAAAAAAAACAGAGAAGAGAATTGGCAAATTTCTCTTTCAAGGAAAAACATAATTAATTCACGAGTTTTTTCTATGGCACATGCTTCTAGCTAATGATAAATGGAGAAGGCAATTTGCAAGAGAAATGACCGCTTGGACGCCTAGTAGCATAGGAAGGAATAAAATAGGGTTGCTCGTACTTGCCTGGGCACAAATAATTTCCCTTCCAAGAGCTCTTAACTGATTATGCATCCATATTCTATCACCATCAACAATCTTGATCAAGGACTTGTTGATAAGGACCTCAATTTCGACTTCCGGGAAAAAGCCACAATCTTCCCACATATACATTGGATTAGTTTTTTTCTTGTTAAAAAAGAAACACGCAATGTCCAGAAAGATTTGTTTCGCTCGATATTCAAGTGCATCATAACTTATCTTTAACCTCTGTTGGACTTTTTCGTTAGGCACTTCCTTCAACTTCTCCAGTGTGCTTATCCACATCTTTTTACTTTGGGAACGGAGATGTGAACCTATCACCTCAAGAGCCAACGGAAGTCGTCCGGTGAATTCAACAACTTCTCTTGAAAGATCATGAAGATCATGTGGAGCTGAATCTGTGTTGAAGGCGAGCTTGTTGAAAAGGTGAAGAGCATGATCAAAATGCATTTCCTTCATTTCGTACAGCAAAAACTTTGTAGACCGTACAGAGATATTTTCCTCCAATCCTTCCACCTTGGTCACAGGAAAAAGACTATTTTCTCTGGTTGTAATGATGATCCTACTCCCTGGACCACATAAAGTACAATACTTCGCTAGTTGCATAAATTGATCATTTTCATCCATGCCATCAAAAACAAGTAAAACTTTTTTGGTAGGTAGCCTCATTCTGATCATATTGTTCCCTTCCTCAAAGTCAAAGGTTTTGAGAAGTGAGAAACCGAAAAGATCCGCTACTAATTTTCTTTGCATTTTTATAACGCCACTGCTTGGAGGTGATTCTCGGATGTTCGAAAGGAAGGAGTGACCTTTAAATCGAGGAGAGAGACGGTTGAAAACTGCCTTGGCAAGAGTTGTCTTTCCAATGCCACCTATTCCATGGATTATGACAAATCGTACGTCACTAGTGTCACACAGTAACATTTTCTCTATGGCTTCTATACGATCATCAATTCCAATTAGCTTGGTGGGCAAATCTCTTTTTCTTATTGCGATCTTTTGTGAAACCTTTTGAGTGATATCGTTAATGAGCTCGCCTTGCCTGCCATTTTCATGAAACATAGCATATGAGACTATATATAAGCAATTAGAACTTCAAGTAGAAGCAAATAATTATAACTAGCGTGCCGAACATGTATTTTTCATGTGATATTCACGATGGCTGTACATAAATCACTCTTTCCACATACACCGTGTAAGGTTTCTCTTTCAAGGGTGGTCAGTATTGCCCCCAAAGAGTTTACTTAAACAATTTAACTTAGAGATATGTCCGTACATGAACCAATCACTTGAGGCACCCTTTGGGAGTTCATCAGCATGTAAATAGTCTTGGCCTAGTTGTAGAAAATGATGCACACAAATCTGCGTGCTTATGTGCGCTCCTGTTCTAATACAGATCGGAAGGGTAGATCTAACAAAAGTCCAATAAATAAATAAATAGATAAATAAACGAAGATGATGTCAATACTTTTTATCCTTTATATGCCATCCTTTGATTGTAGCCACCGTTTTCAGAGCCTCCTTCCATGAATTCACTCTAGTGAAATCTTGGTCCTTCTCATGCTCCTTTAGGGCGCTTTCGTACAGCTCCGTTTCAAGCTTAACATCCGAGGGAGTCACGTCGTAAAAGACGGGTAGTATCTCTTTCCCTGGGAATTGGCGAGTGCACTCCACCATGCATGTTAGCTCTCGCAAGCACCATTTACTCAAAGCGTAACCCTCGGAGAAAATAGGAATGTATATTTGGGATCTTTTTATTGCTTGCAAGATCTCCGAGATCTTTTCACCTGGTCGTAAATCCTCCTCATCCCTAAAAACGCGGATTCCTTTATCGCTCATGTACACATAAAGGAAATCCGTGAATGTATTGCGAGTGTCGGGTCCTCGAAAGCTCAAGAATACATCGTAGTTGCCACCAGTTGCAGTTGCTGAGTCGGCCTCTTCGTCCTCCATCTGACAACACAGATTGATGTTACCGTTGACTTCAATTTCTGGTCCCGGGCTTGGATCATGTGTCCCAAGCTATCTCAGAACGTTTAGCGCCAGACGACTCCACATATCCAGGAATCTCATAACGTATAGCGCAAGACGATTCCACATATCGAGGTCGTGATGGGATCGGACGTGTTTGGATCACAACCTAGCACCCGATTTGTCTTGAGGAGATTTCTACAAGCCAGAGGCGCGATTAAGAAGAGTAGCAACTTCCACTCTCTTTCTTTCCGCGTATAAGGTCTATGACTGAAGCCCTTTTCAGCTGGTTTCCGCGTGAGGGCTCCTCCTTTCCGCGAAGGTCACTCCCACTCCTTATTTCACTTTCTTTCCTTTCCCCAGGTTTCACTCATCGAAGTCCGCGTCAGCTTGTCAATATTTACCATCACGTGTCACGTCATCTTCTTGACAAAAGTTGTGGGAAATATGCTAAAATAATCCCCAATCCAACAGGCGGAATCTTCTAGCGGGTTGATTGAGCGAATAGTCTGAATTTCTATTTCGATTGTCCTCCACCTTGCTTCGGTTCTGTTGCTTCTCTTGTTGCCTCATGTTCCCTTTCCCTTTTTCGTTCTTTTTCCTCTGCGTTCAAGAAAATATGTTAGATTCCCCAAATGTCTCGAGGAAAATGGCTGGGGAAGTAAATGGATATGGATGTACTCTTACATATGTCTATCAAACGTAACCATTAATTGAGCCGTAATTATGTCAAAATGCTTGACAAAGTTATCATCTCATTGTTACAGCTTTCACGATCATCGTTGAACCCTTATAAAATAATATGTGTGGTGTGAGCAAACATTAGATGCAAACTTAATGTCTATTAAGATTTTTCTTCGCATTTCGAGGATTTGCGCGTGAAACCAAAGTGAGCAAGTAGTGCCTACCTCTCTTCTAAGGGTAATCCTCCTCTATGTTGATAATGGATATACATAAATCACTTTTTCCACATGTATCGAGTAAAGATTCTTTTTAAGGGAGGGTAAAGTATTGCCCCCAAAGACTTTACCTAAACAGTTTGAATAAGAGATGTGCGATATTTGAACCAATCACTTGAAGCACACTTTGGGAGTTCATCCGCATGTAGATAGTAACATACGAGGGATCCACATCGTAAAGTAGGAAGTGCACTCTACACCCGTGTCAGCTTTTGCAAGCAACATTTACTCGAAGCGAAGTTTTTGGATAAAACAGAAATATATTTTTGGAAGCTTTTTACTGCTCACAAGATCTCCAAGATATTTTCACCCAATTGTGACTCCTCGTCGTCCCTAAAAATATGGATTCCTACATCGCTTATGAACTCAAAGGCAATATGTGAATCCGTTGCGAGTGTCGGATCTTCGAACACTCAAGAAACACGTCATAGTCGCCACCGGTCGCAGCCCCTGAGCTGGCCTCTTCGTCCCCCATCTGATGCCCAAAGACTGACGTTACCGGTGAAGTAATTTTGTGGTCCTTGAGGAGATTTCCACAGCAAGAGGAGGCAAGATTATTGAGCAGCAACTTCCACCCTCTTTCTTTCCGCGTGTCTTGTCAATATTGAACTCTCTTTCTTTTCGCGTAATGTCCGAGAAATTGCACTAGTGGAAGTGCTTTGCAGGTTAGCTTTGTCATCATTCAATTGTTTCTTTTGGCGTGGGGTCACTCCTGCTCATCCTTTAACCCGCTGTCCGCCTAAGTTAACCAGTCCAAGTCCTTTCCAGCTCATCGATATTCACATGTTACATCACCGTGTCATGTCATCAGTGGGAAAATGCTAAATAATCCCCTCCAACATTCTTTCTATTCCTGCTTGGCCATTTATTAATTTATAGAATACCCGCTCTCAATAAATATTTTTTATTGCTATTTATTTAATAAGAAAAATAAGAAATATATATCAATAGTATGTATAAACAGAAAAAGATAATTATAGAAAAGTATTAAGAACAAAATATGGTGTCTTGTCACTATTGTACTCTCTTTCTTTTCCCGTAATGTCCGAGAAATTGCACTAGTGGAACTGTGGAAGTGCTTTTCAGCTTAGCTTTGTCATCAGTCAATTGTTTCTTTCAGCGTAAGGTCACTCCTGCTCATTCTTTAACCCGCTTTCCGCCTATATTGACCAGTCCAATTCCTTTCCAGCTGATCGATATTCACATGTCACATCACCGTGTCATGTCATCAGTGGGAAAATGCTAAACAATCCCCTCAACATTCTTTCTATTCCTGCTTGACCATTTATTAATTTATATAAAAATTAATATCATAAAAAATCTTAAATTAATGCACTTATAATAATTTTAGTTTAAATTAATTTTTTGATTAAGAAAAACTCCAAACTGATGCGCCTGTGATAAATTTACCCCAAATTAATTTTTTGACCACAAAAATTCCCGAACTTGTACATTTATGACAAATTTACCCTTCATTAATTTTCATTAAATTGAATTAATACCACAAAAAATCATAAACCGGTACGCTTGTAACAAACGGAGAGTAAAACATAAAATTAGTACAATCGTCAATTGCCACGTGTCATTTAACAAAGTAGTTTGACAGTAGAATTAACGAAAATAAATTAAGGATAAATTTGTCACGAGTGTCAATTTCAGATTTTTGGTGGTCAAAAAATTAATTTGGAGTAAAATTATCACAAGCGTATCAGTTTTGGATTTTTTGCAATATTAACCCTTTATATAACACCTACCCTCAATAAATATTTCCATTACTATTTCATTTAATAAGAAAAATAAGAAATATATATTAATAGTATGTATATAGAGAAAAAGATAATTATAGAAAAGTACAAGAACAAATAATGGTGTGAACTTCCTTACCAGAAAAAAAAATTAATGGTGTGAACTTTTACTTTTAAATTAATGAAATACTGATATTACTATACTATTTAATTATTCGATCTAACGAATTAGTCCATGTCCATTGTCCACCTAGGACAATTTTGTTGCTTCTCTTGTTGCCTTTTTTTTTTCCATTTTCTTTTTGATCTCATCTGTATTATTACTTTGAAGGGAATATGTTAGATTCCCATTATATCTCACAGAAAATGGCTCGTGAAGTTAATGTATGGATATCAGTTGATCAAACATAACCCATAACCTATAATCAAGTCATACTTATGTTGTTACAGCTTTCATGACCACAGTTGAACCCTTAAGCCATAACTTGTGATGTGAGCAAACATTGCATCAGTGTCCATTAAGATTCTTCTTGGCACTTCGCACACTTGCACGTGAAACCATAGTCCGCAAGCAGTGCCTGCCTCCCTTCAATGGATAAATCCTCATCTATGTATGAAATGGTGACCTGCAAGATTTCAGGATTTCTTGAACCTCAGTTAGGCATATGCTCACTATAAGAGAAAGAGTTGCATTGCTTTTCACCTAACTGGCATAAATTCATCCAAGCATATGCTAACCAGCCAGATAAAGCCACATGAGATTACCTCTTCTCCCTTAGAAATTGGCTTCAATGCCACAATCGTTGCTTGACCATCTCTATCCTGAAAAAGCGGCAACAATTAAATCACTTCTGCCGCATATCATTTGCATTCTCCACCCACTCAGGTGTCCATGAACAGGAATAGGTTCGACATAGCATAGAATAAATATAGATGATGTTATGTTGAAGAAGGCATGACTTCAACAGTCTAAAGTTTCAAAAGCACAAGCGAATCTCGTCAATGATTATCCAACCCAGAACATGCAAGTTATGGATAAAAGGCAACATTGTGTGAATCTCTACATTTGTATCTACAAACTACCAAAGCGGTTGATCTTAAAAAATTATTGATAGGGATAGGTCAGGTCAATCATATTGAAGGGCCATCTCAGTAAATATGAATAACGTCAACTTGAAGCTCAAAAGGATTCAAAATTTCAAACCATTTCAATAATATAAAAAATCGTGAAGAATGCTAGAGATGCAAAGACTGTTTTAAAGATTAGTGGGCCAAACTCCGATGGGGCGCTTATACATTGCCCATTATGCAGTTTGCCATAGCTTTGTAAACCGTTTCTAAAATCAGCCTTTGCATCCCCGAGTTAATGACATCACTGTCACAAACTAAATGCGCACAGGGTTACTTATACCTCCTCTCTTTTGAAAGCTTTGGCATTAGGATGGCAGGAATGATTCATGCAGCTCTGCAAGGGGAAAAATGCCGTGCCTGAAAGTATGAATTTAATTATTAGCAATAACACCTGGCATAAATAACTAAACAATACAAATCGCAGATCCAATGAAAAGGGAATTGCCTAGTATATGTGAGGAGCATGAATTTAATTATTAGCAATAACACCTGGCATAAATAATTAAACATTACAAATCGCAGATCTAACGAAAAGGGAATTGCTGAGTATATGTGAGGACAATGCAAAATAAAAACAAAAAATTTACTTGACATCATGATAAGCTTATGTCAGGACAAAAACCAAAGCAGGACTGCATGCATCATTCTCAAACTGGGAAAGCCTACTAATTCATGTACATATTCATATTCTAAAGTTGCTTCTCTGGTAACTTATCCTATCCTGTTAGCTAAAATGCGGTCATCAACTATGTGGTGTCACGTTTTTGTACAGCATGTTATAATTGTATGCTTATTCCAGTCCCACAGCATGCATGTCAAAGATCAGATGGCAGCCCATCAATAAATAAAAAGATCAAATGCTGAAGAGTAAGACAGAAATGATGTGGTCCAGCTCAGGCCTTGTCAGATGTACCTAATTGAATACACGAACCAGTAATGGCATGATTAGAACAGCAATTGGATTTAGTATGATGAGGGATTTTTCAAGCTAGAAACACAACCGTGTTTGTTGATTAATCAAGTCTGTACAGTTAAAGTTTCGCATACCCTCACAACAAACTGCATACTCATCACCGAGGGCATCCAAATATGGTTGAGATACTTTCTTGGCTTCTTCCTGCCAACAGAGATGATCGCAAATGCATAAACTTCCAAACTCTGTAATGGATGTCAAAGACAGAAATGTGCATCATATACCTTCTCAGGATATGGTAGATCATCGATATACAAAAAGTAATCTTCCACAGGAGATGCTACAACCAGATCACTGTGACATACCAAAACCAAAAAGAAGATTCTTAAATGCCCAAAGCAGACTATCAATAGTAAGGCATTCATACAACACGTGTCACCAATATCAAGGAGACCCAACCGACTGAATTTTCTCATGTAAAGTAGAAATGTCATACCTTCTATTTCTATGTGCTTCAATGCAAAAAGAAAATGGAGAAAGAAAGGATAATTTCAAATATAGTCTACAGTTCAAGACTCAGAAAGTAGGAAATATTCAACCCTTGATAAGTTAAAAACTTACAGATTATTCAGCTCAAACATTCCAATGATATGCCCATAAATGTCAAGTGAGAATACTTTGTAGAGTCAAGGAATCGAACCTCACATACTATAGTACCAAGCCAAAAAAAAAAAGATAACTGATAATCAGCAAACTTTGAGGGTTCTTAAAAGGATACATGGTTCACATTCTTTGTCAAAGATAGCTGCCTTCAGGAGTTGCAATGACTGAAAAAAGAAAAAAAGGGATTATCAGGAAAGTGACTATAGATGCAGAAGATCACTGACATGCAAAGTGATGAAAAGAGAAAAAGACAGCATTTTCTCTTTTCTCAAAAATTGACTATTTGAATTTCTCTAGAAAAGAGGTAGAAGGTATCTAGAGGCCACCTTTTAGAATGAGCAACCTGGAATGACCACTGATCCCCATTTAAACTTCCGAAAGATGTTTGAGAATGGTGGTGATCTTTCACAGATCAAAACAACCCAAAAACTAAAAATGGCATCACTTAGGATGATCAAGCGGTTGAGATTTCTATTTTTTAAATAAGCAAAAAGAAATTCACTAAGAGGCACCCAAGGGGGTGCCAATCCATTTAAGAAAAGATGTTGGGAGTAGTTGGCCCTGTGTCCATTTCACCTTGCCACATAACGAATACTATTAGCAAACTAAGCATGGAAAGGTAAAGAAGAATAACTAAAGAGTGGAATGCAACCAACAAACTGATGATCAAGCATCACGAACGAACACTGCTATAGGAGCAGCCTCATAAGAAGCAGAATGATCATTTATTTAGATACCAATATTCAATTACCTAAACACAAACCAGCACGGGACTTTCAAAATCTCCAATCAGTCACGAAATGGAGGTTCACATTCATAATTTAATTATCATTTTTTATATTGTCACAGAAAACTGGAGTCTTTTATCCAGTCCAAATCTTTTCTTTCCAATATCAAATCTCCAATCAGTCACAAAATGGACGTTCATATTCATCATTTAACTATCACACAGTGAACAACTAAAAGCAAGATTGGCTAAAATACCCAATATAATCCTCTTTTTTTTTTCTTTTTTTTGGTCGAAACCCAATATAATCCTCTTAAGATGCAACATCTAGAATAAATTTCTTTACCTTAAAGGCAAGCTCTTTAATTTCCATCCTAAATACAGCTTCATCAGAAGGATCAACATCCTCCGGCAATGCTATGCATTCCCACCACCTAAATGCAATTATTGGTCGTGAGTAAGTTCACCTGTTTGACAAATAATTCTTGAATAGGCAAAACATGAGAGAAAACTTACCTTCTCTTGTGACCGACTGATATTGGCTTCCATGCTTCTAAAAGTAAGGGCATATGAAAGTTGTCCATAACATGAGCCGTGTCCTTCGTATAACTACTCAGAAAAATTGCTTTTGACTTCCTATACCTTAATATAGTGTATGCAATTGCCTGAAAAATGACAACCAATGTATTGGCTATCCACACCAGCTCTATTAAACATGTGCAGTAGAGATCTGCGGATGAAAATCGAGGTATATCTATAACCTTGTTACGACATAAACTTTGCTTTGTGCATGGTATACTCACTACCAACCGAGAACTTAAAACAGTTTAAGAACATGATAATATTCTATGATCCACTTGTTCTGTGATAATAAAGCATGACATTATAATATTTTTTACATACAACAACAACCACCTAGCATTTTCTCACCAGGTGGGTCACCCAGATAGACATACAAGTTGACCATGCCGAACTAAATTAGGATAATGTAACAAAAAGTATATTTCCCCCCAGCACAACAGTCTTATAGCAAGACCTCAGATAAAGCATAACATAGGAATTTCAATGCCTCACTTAGCCACCTATTCCCGACCAGGAAGGCAATTTGACAAGATGGTACATAATGAATCGTTAACGTCAATAGTCAATATCATTGTTTTTGGCAGTTCATATAGTTCAAGCATGATTATCCACCCTATTTCTCCTTTACCAATCCCTAACAGAAAGAACAAGTAGTTGAGTGACGCCCTATTTCATTAGATGAAATCATAGTCAATCTCGAAAAGATGCCCAACATTAAGATATGAGTAAGCGTCAAAGAAAAAACTGCAGCAAAAGGTTCCTTTACTAGAAGAACAAATTCATTTTGCATCACCAGAAAAAATTACAAGAAATAGGGTTGGGAAATGAAACGTAGGAAGTGGGATTAAGAAACATGGAAACTACTTAGAGAAGAAACATACTTTGGCTGCCAGAATGAAAATATCATTTGTTTCTGCAGTGAAAAGAAAAAATGAAGAAGAAGGATCAATAGAAATAGACAACAAATTAAAAAAAATGAAACCTATCAACAATACAGATTTAAGGGCTTTACCGTTAGCATGTTGGGTGAATTGGAGAAGAGCCTTTGCGGAAAACGCTTCTGACTTCTCTCCAGTGCACAGTAAAGAATGAAATGAATTCCAGTCAGCATCTGCACACACTTTGCTAAAGAGGATTGTTGACATTACTAAATGAACTAATCCACGGAGTAGCCCCATAAAAAAACATAATTACAGCAAGCATTATACACGGCGTAAGAAAATAAAACATCAGAACATGTGACTCAAAAACATAATGGCAATACTGCTGATACAAATCAGAACTCAGTTGTTAAATTCAATTTCCGGATTTGCAATTCAAAACTTTTGGTGCCAAGACTAAGCAAAGCACCTTCTCCTCTTGGAAAGTGGCCTCTTTGAGCATACATTAACAAATTACCATTGAAATCAAAAACATATGTAGATTGCTTTCCATACTCATGCTTTTGGTCCTTTTCATACTAATACAACTTGCTTCTAAGCAGGAAAATAGTGAGAGACCCAAATCTCAGTTAAAAAAGTATATCAAAGCCACGTACCTGCAATAGTAAGCTTCTTGACATCCCCCGGAACATGGAATAACCGGTGGCGAGGAAAATTTGTCCGAGTATGGCAATACAATTTCACCATTCATCAATGATTCAACGATTTCCTTGGGCAGAGGAACTTTTGCTCTCTTGCTTCCTGAAGCACATCCACGAGAGTCATCGTAACTTTCCTCATCCGTGATGTCTTCTCCATCAGATGAGTCAGATGCACCATGATCATTTGAAACATCTGAGCACGAACCAGTATCACATCCATGGCTTGAAGAGAGACCTAAATCTTGAAAAAACAATCTTCTTCCGATTTGAAGTTCTAATGTCCCAATAAAGCGAAAACAGAAGCTACATACCAGACAATCAATCTGCAATAACAAAAGAAAAGGAAGCGTTAGATTGTGCATGATCAAAGGTCCTGACAAGTGCACATTAGAATCCATGCCAGCAAAAACCTTATTTGAGGGATGTTGACACCCAAAAAGCATTTGATCCCTTAAAAGAAGCTCCCCTTCTTTAAAATCCACATCGGCATAAACACCTGGAAAACAATAATCCAACAGATGCTCAATGGTAGAAAGGCAGACTGTAGAAGCCACTTTGCAAGAGCACCTTCATCGCATTTACTATGCAAAAAACAATTTAATTCAACAGTGCATGAATTTTTTGAAACTTGAGATCATTTTGCTGGATCAGAAACTACATAATTATAATGGAGAAACAACATAATGTAAAGTGATAGCAAGTGGCACTGCACACAGGTTATCACAGAGCAAATTATGTGCCTAGAATGGACACTTCTAATTAGGCCGAACAATGGATTTACTTTCTCACATGACTACAGAAAACAACAGAGTACACGGAGATTCTTCTTTTATTTCCCTCATCATGCGCTAGGACGCATCTTGCATTTCTTGGTGTTTAAGTAAAGTCTGCAGCTTTCAGGTTGATGTCATTTGTTTGCACAATTCATCTCATTCCATCGGCACTCATGCACTCGCAAATTTTTCCTGATGACTATCAATGGAAATGGACGACAAGTGAAACACGTCGCCAACAACACAACCGATTTCACAACAGCAACTTGTCATCCTCGGGGATATCAACTACCTCTGAACGATTAAAAGTCTGCGAAGTGATCCCACGCCAAACAAGAGACAACAGTCAAATTCGAGAACTCGCCCAGATAGTAGCACAACGCCGAGCATAAGAAACTCATAAAAAAAACACAACTTTGTATCGAGCAGGAGACTTGGTCAAACCTTTCCCGAACTCGCCATCTTGCTTCACCTTGAGGCGGCAGCCCTCCCGCGAGGCTAAAAGCTGGTCGAAGTAATCCTGAGCAGACAAATTTTCAGACAACCGTGGAAGCCGAAAAGGGCGGGAGAAAAGCGGAGGGGGGCAAAATTGCGAAAATCTACCGAACGGAGCGCAATGAATCCGAGGTAAAACCCTATCCAGTGAACGACCCTACCGTCACTCGATGCTCTTAAATCTCCACTGATTCTAAACAAACTGAACTTCGGAAAGAATGAGTGCGGAATGAACGCAGAAGCGACTCGTTCCTTCAACGGTGACAACTGCTACTTCCAAAGGATCGATGGAGAAGCAGCGGAGAGGAATGTACCTGGATTTCGCGGGGAGGAGGAGGTCGGAGAAGGGCGGAGATTTCGGGGGCGCGCTTCTCGTCGATCGGACAGACGACCTCCATTTTGGGGAATTCGCTGCTTGCTCGGAACTCGAAACGCCGGCGGGTTTCTGCCGGTGAAGGCGGCGACGTCGAGCTCGGTCCCAAGTAATGGTCCGCTTCTTCTACTGCTTTTTGGGTTCTTCTTGGTGGCGGCGCGGCGCTACCAAAATGAGCGTGCGAAACATGCCTCAAAGATTCAAAAAAAAAAACGGAGAGAAATGCCTCGACGATCATAATCTTTTCACTTTCATCAAATTGATATTAAATTTTTAGTTTTGTCCTTCCAATAAATTTTGGCGTGAAATCACCGGATATCTAGTCACGATTTTCAGGCTAAAATTTACCGAAATGGTTAGATTGGAATTGCTTCAAAAGTTCAATATTGAATAAATATAATTAAAAAATTTATGATCGAATTGATATATATAATAAGTTTACGGCTAATTTAGGAAGTGCTGGATCAGTGACACGTACTAACACAATGTATTGACCAACTAATAGGACCGATAAATATAAATTTGCAAACGACAGAAAACTCATTATTACTTGATCCGACGTTGACTATCACAAATTTAAAGTTTGTGATTTTAGGGAAATTTTTCGAAAATTTATCGAGGACATGCTGTTGTGACCTTCATTGCCGTCGGATAAAATTGCGTAGAGCATGGATTGTTCACAAGTAAAATTAAAGCATAAATGTAGAATTAGCGCATCCAATTTTTCATTCATTCTATCATTGATGCATTTGGGGTTTCATGAGATGATCTCTGTAGCATTGAGCAAGTTGGTCGTAACCAAATCTCAGGTAAACCTCAAACCCCAAAACTCCAAATCCGAAATCCCAAAACCCAGACCCTAAACTCTAAACTAAATTGTAATTTTCTCAACCACCATCCGATATTTGTTTTGTCTATAAAGAATAATTTTCTTTATAATTATATTAAGGTCATCCAATTCTATATCATAATATATTCTGATTATCTTTCCAGTCTAATTTTATCCAAACATGACCAAACATGAAAAATTGTGAAGTCTCCACTCACATTTTATAATTAAATGAAAAATTAGGAGTAAAAATTTTTTAAGGTCGTACCGAACACATTTCTATACTATTTCTATTTCGAAAATAAAAATTTTGTGCAGTTACCAAACTCATTTTTTTGCTTAAAAACTGTTCCCGAGAACAGAATTAAAAAACATTATTTCCGAATAGAAATTGTTCCAGAAACAGAAACGTTAAATTTAATCCATTACTACTTCTGTTCTGTTGTGCCTAAACATATATGATTCGTTCCGTGACACGGTCGATCTAAAACGAAGGGAATTGTAATGTGTCGCCACTGCCGCCGCGGTCGAGCACAATTAGCACAGGCGAATCTTTCAAATAATCAAAATCACTGACCAAAATATACATCTGGCTTTAGCCCAGAATACTCCTTGAAAGTAATCAGTACTGTTTCTGAGCTAGATAATAAATTTGTATTGCATTTCTGGAAAGTGAGAATAACTGACTTTAAGACAGACCCAACCATTAACTGCGAAGCTGGAACCTATGAATTATTAAAATCCTATTGAAAAAAGAATCTCAGAACACACAGGATATATGCCCAAAAAAGCTTATGGTATCTTGCTCTACAGCTCACAAAATGTTTGATATATCCAAAGGGTAGTAGTACAACAGAAACTTAAAAACTCTTGTCTATGAAACTAATGCAATATGAATTGCAAACAGCGAATCTCATGATCCAACGAAGTTGACTGAGATTAATAGTGAGCCAAGACCTCGACCCAATTATCATCGGAAAACCAGCCACAGCTGGTGAATATTGGAACTCCTGAGGAACTGAGCGGGAAGATTATCAGACCAGATAATAAACAGGAGGACATAAATATACAATCGCATTTGCGAATTTTATGAGTTACTGCTAAATGCTCCCGAAGAACTGCTCCAAAGATGGGGAACTGAACACGTTAGAGGCCGTCCTTTCAGGTCTGATGGGGGTCACATGAAGTTGGTACTTGATGAATCTCTGCAAACAAACGCGTCATTACATATATATACTCGCTGTGTGATGACATCATGTAAGGCTGATAGTACCCATTGAGCAAGAAGAGTAAGCAAAAACTTTACCGCTAACTGAGAGATGACTTCAGGGTTTGTGTCAATGTGCCAGTCTGGTTCTAGTTGCCGAACAAAAGAGGAACGCCCATTCTCTGTGCTACAGAAAAGAACCTGCACATGAATTTCCCAAAAATCACGTATGCGATAAAGTGAAAAATACATAGCAGATAATATAAATCAGCGATTTTGCATGTCTAATTCAGACAATAGAAGGGTATTGGAGATCCTGAAGTCCTTAAGAAATAAGTGAGACGGATTTTAACATTCACCATCGCGTCAACCATACAATCACACACTATTCAACTTTCGTTCGTTGCTTGCTCTCTCCAGCACCTAAACATCTGCATGCCCCATTTAATTCCACTACTTTTATCATTAATCCCAACAACAATTCACTACGTAATTCTCTGACCTTCTTCACACAGGACTTGGTCACTAATTGTAAGGCTCTGCACCTAACCTAAAAGGAAGGACTGCATCGTGCTTAGAAACTCTTGTTTATAAACAATTTCTACGAAGCAAAGAAAGCACTGTAATTTTCTTTTTGAGACTTATGCTTATGAACCCAATTGATGTTGCATATTACACAATTACTCTCAACGGGTCCAGACCTTCTGAGTCCCTTGCTTGCACTATATATCAATTCAACTCAGGCAGATCATAGAGGCTTTATTATTGCCTAATTATACTTCAGCTTCAGCACGTTAGGAGTAATGAGTCAGTTGTGCTGCTATGTCGATTGTGCGTGTGACTATGATGAAGATCACAAGGACACAAAATCATATCCTCGTGGAGTAGCATAGACTGCTGACAGTGTTCATAATATAGCTTAACTATGAAAATGACTGCCATGAAGAAGTCCCCTCCAACCCAGTATCCAAATGAATTAAACAAAGAAGAAAAGCTTGTGATAGACAATCATGTAGAAGGAAAAACTTATTAGCGTATTGCACGTGCAATAATCCAAAAGCCAGCTTAGGTTCATATCAGGTATTTGTGTACCTTCTCCTTGATGAGACCACCTGAAGTAAAGACTCCAGCATACTCCAAGGCCTGAAGAATTTTTTTCTGCACAGTTGAAGAAAACAACTTCAACACATAGCACAACCGGCTGAAATAACACAAATTGAGGAAATTGCCCTGGCAAAGGGGCCAGCAATACAACTGCTATCTTAAGAAACAGAATGACACATATGAAGTCTGATTGAGAAAATATATGATGCCAGTACAAAACATAATCAAAATGACAGAACCATGGCATATTAACAGCAATTCTGCATTAGCAAATCTAAAGATAAAGCAAGGTTATACCTAGAATTAACAAGGTCCAAAAACCAGAAATAACTACGGCAAAATAGTCCACACAAAAGAAGCACATTGTGAGGAAACATAGCTGTTCTGTAAAATCGTTAGTGCAACAACCATACACTGCCTATTAGGAGAATTCTAGCAATGGTACTGGCATTCACAGCGCACAAATGAGAAAATGCTCAGGCAGAAAATGATGAATTCTACATATTGTTGTCCAAACAGATTCCATTCAATATTTTGCAAATACCTCACTCTCGTCATCAAGAACTCTTTCCATGAGATAAAGATCACAAAATTTGGTGATCTCCAAAAGTACTTCCAACACAGAGGATTTTACAGTTGCTTGTTTCTGCAAAAAGAATCACTAAATCAGGCAATACTCATGCAAAACAAATGTGAAAGTGTAATAGGACTCCGCAGAGGATTCTATTACCTGAATCTCCTCAGGACTACTTTCCTCAAGAATAACTCCGAGCAAACGACATGTGACCTGAATAAATAGCTTAAGCATCAACGCATGACTTGACGAGGGAAAGAGAAGTGGAAAACATTGGTGCTTAGCAAAAGCTAAAGAGGATAATTGTTTCCACTACATTGACATGCAAAGAAAAGCAGAAATTTTTAATCATGAAAGAATATCAAGAACCTTGATCATCCAAAACAGGAATCAATATGAAACATCAATTAATGACAAGGATCGGATAGTAACTACAACCATGATCAAAGAAAGCAAAAGCTTTAGATGCAAAAGGACAGTTATGGTACAGCCATCCGTACAATACCATGAATGATAATCCATATAGATGATATCCCACTTCATGGCACAATTTTTCAAAGTATTAAAGAAAATAGGTTACACTGATTACCTTTCGACCTTCACTCAATTTTTGCCTCACAATCTGCCCCAATGTTGGCTGAAAAATAACGGGGAATGACATTAAAGCTAGAATGAATACACTGAAACACAAGATAAATTAAAAAGATGCAAGTTAACACTTACCTTCACAGGCTGGAAAAACTCATCAACAACATTTCGTGCCCTTAAATCCTCTGAAGTTGAACAAACTCCAGAAGAAGTCGAGGCTGTATTTGTCTGAGAAGCTAGACCCGAACTGGTAGGTGAAGCAGCTTGTCTTTTTTGTACCCGTCTTTGAGGGCCTCTAGGTGTCCTCAATAACCTCCATGTAAAAACTACGGCAACAGCAAACCCAGCAATTGCCCCAAGCGAGCGCGAATTCTAAATCAAAAAGAATCAGGGTGCAGTGTGAGAAGTAGGCACCAGTATGGGGCATCACGCATATCATGCTGTCAGACACTGAGATTTACTAATCTAAGATATGTGATCAGAGAGAGATTAATGACGTTGACAGACCCTTGTAGCTTCCAGGCACTTTTCCTATGAGCATATTACAGGAATTATATTATCTACATCATTTCATATTATTCAGATATCTGCAGACACTCTTGTAGGAATGATCAAACTAGCTGGTGTTTCGCATAGCCATGGGCAGCAATTACATCTTTTAAAAGGGGCAATGCTCCTTCAATAAGGTATTTGGCAAACATTTAGAAGCCGACACTCCCCATAACAGAAGCATCTCATGGGAGAATTTAATGAATGCTATGAATATAAAGTCGCATTGTCAAACACATTAAACAATCGTAATCTCAGCTCATCACACAGCTACACCAATACCGAATGAACACTTCAACATCATAGAAGCCAAAAATGTTCGACATTCTTCCAGACTTTAAGAATCGATACCATTAGGGTGCGTTTGGTTTAGGCACAAGGCATGCAGGTGTAGTGAATTTTTGCCACTCACCGCTTCCTTTCCTCTTCCTCCATATTGTTCCTTACCCTCCATTATCATACCATTTATCCATCAGCACTACTGAATTTGTTGTCACCACCATCATCCCTCCAAAATTACTCCCACTGCCATTCCTCCTCCTCCACCATCACAACTCGCCCTTAAATCATATACAGTGTGGCCTCTACTACATTCCAGTCTGAATCTACTTACATTTTGAATAGTACATTATAGTGTAGCTGAAGGGCATCTTAGCATCAACCGTCAGAATTATAAGGAGAATACATAAAAAGCTTTCTAGAAAACTACCAAAGAACAATCTCGTACTTTCCTAAGGGATGCAGGTACTGTTGGGATAGGGAAGGCCCAATGGGTCAGAAAGATAGCAGATTCTGGAAGAATTAACAGCAAAGTTAAACGCCCGACACCATCAAAGGATACTACTAGGTGGTGAAGCAAGTAATTAAGACGTACCAAGATATATGATCCGGGTGGGTAAGTACCCGAAGGCAGATAACACAGAACGCGATTAGAAGGTTTTAGCTTTCAAAAAAAAAGATGTGAGAAGTTAGCATTGCCGAGCAGGTAAAGCTGAATTTTCTTGAAGACCAGTCAGTCCCCCAAATTGGCTCAAAATGATGAGAGAAGTGGCGGGCGGACAGATACAAACTGATCTATTGGCTAATTGGACTCCAACCCCAGTAGACGGAACACCCCTCAGCGGCAAAACCAAGACTCAAATTTTTAGCTGCTTCAATCAATAATCATACCCTATATATACATATATCATAAAGAAGCGGCACCAGTTCCCAAAACCCTCCATAGGACCATCAAATGGATCATGAAATCGCACGGAAAGCGCAATGGAAAGATCAACTAAATGAGCCAAAGGCAGCAATTCTGATGCGATAAAAGAGTATCAAATGGATCGTAGAATCCTCCATCCCCTGGCCCAAAAAAAAAAAAAAAGCGACGGAGGCGAAGAGGAATCCGACCGCGCACCATGTTGTTGAGCGAGATCGAGAAGATGTTGGAGAACTTGACGGTGAGGTAAGCCCCGAACCTCCTGATCAGCTGCACCAGCTCGTCCTTCGAGGTCTCCGCCATGGCTTGGGCTTCCCCCCCACCACCACCACCACCGCCCCCCCAAAGATCAAGCCGGCGAAGCCCGCCGCGGCCCTTCCGCCGAGAGAGGGGGACGCTTCCGCCGCGCCGGAGACAGGAACCGCCTTGTAGAGAGAGAGAGAGAGAGAGAGAGGCGGCGAGACTCGTTCGATGCTTCTCGTCAATGGTCGAACCTCGCGAACGAGCAGGGAGACTTCCGATGCGATCTGCTCGCTTTAATTTTTATTTCTTTTCTGTTATTTTTTTTCTCTCTCTTTTTGTCAGTTTAGGGATTTTACTTTTCCATCGGGTGCTGCTGCTGCTGCTGCCGCTGCCGATCTCGTCTTACGAGTTCGGAACCCGGTTTGTCCCTGACGGGTTCGGGTCGTCGGATCGGGATTGGATTGGGCCCGGCCCAAGAGTGAACGGTCCGGGTCAAAGAAGGGAAAAAGCTCATTTTGTCGACACAAAAGTACAACAACACGTTAGGCAAAGTTCAAGGCGGTGGTGCGGGGAAGTCTTAAGTTGTCTTGTTCGGCGAACTTTGAAGATGGGAAATTCCGCTTGGCAAAGATTTTCTGACAGCGCCGCGACACGGTCATTGACCGCATGTCGGCTTTTGTACCCGGCCATTTCCATCACGGCGAGATTGTCTCTGCGGTGAAGTAATGATTTCCCGATGACTGGTGCGGTGTGGAACGCATGTATAATTGATGTTCTTTAGGGTGTGTTCGAGACGCCATTGTGGTAAGTTTGGCTTATGCTTCCGTGCCAAAGAAGGACTAAAGGTGAATTCTGATCTTTTTACCTTCTTTTCGTCACTTGCTTGTTCTTATGACATTGTTTAATACGGCAATCTTCGAGTCAGCAGAGACGGTGAAAATTTGGGTGCCACAGTTCCAAAGATGCTCTCGTACCAAAACAGCCCTCGAAATTCAATGGTCTAACCGAGACAAGAATGTCAGCGACAGTGAGCGACAGACAAAGACAAGAGAAGAAAGACATGGACAACGTTATGCGGAGTGGGGAAGACAAAGGACTCTTTTCACTCAGTCCACGACTTGAGGAAGTGATGGTGGGTCTGTGGTTGCTTGTGCATCCTCAACCACCGGAAGTTCGGTCACGTCATCGAGTGCCGGATCGGACAGCACGAGCGCCTTGTCGATCTTGCCGTGTCCTCCTTGCCCGTTCAACAGCACCTCCCTCTCCAGGTGCAGGCAGTAGCTCTCGAACACCCTCGAGCTCACCACTACCCCAAAGTCCAGGAGGAAAAGCAGCTCCATCTCGAGCCTGTTCAGCTCGGAGTTGCTCACCCCGCCTACTCTCGCGTAGAACGCGTTGTTGTAGTGCCTGCGCGAATTCCCCGAAGCCAGTGATGCAGAGTTATAGCATGTACAGATAATTTGTTCCGGAGAGTACATGGCTTCACACGTTGAAATTAATAAGCTATGTTCCATGATCGCAAGTCTGTCTAGTTTTGGTTTTGTGTGCAACTATGGATCAAGAGCTTAGAAAGGTCCTAGACCAATGTGGTTCCGCAAGTCGTGACTTATTGAAATGCGACATCGGCACTGCATCAGCAAAGGAGTTCCGACATACATTACTATGGGTTAGCTTTCGCCGTCTTTCTTTTTCCAGCCAAGGAACTAATGTGACCTCGAAACTGCCGGACTTTTGGGCCTCAGATCTGGCAGAGTCTCCGAGCAGATTACTTTTGAGTCTCTGTCATTCAATCACAAAATAATAGTAGAACCTAATCTTGCTTATGCACGATTTGGACCCTCGTCCGCTTTCTTTTGGATAAGTAGTTGGTCTCAAGCTCTTATTGACGTGACTTCCAAACCATCCAGTCATCTATTTGGAACTCTGACCATTCATTTGATCATTCAAAGTTCTACGAATTAATTGGCTCAACTAACTCAGAACTACCAGATGTTGATCACTCAATCAAGTGAAGGCGCTCAATTCACAAAAGATGTAAGCATGCGCATGAGTTTTGGAGGCACACTTACTCATCATCCAGCATCTTGGAGGCGACCATGACACTCGTGACGAGCAACCTATGCACATTCAGCGACACCACGAGCGAGTCCGGGTGCTTATGCACCAATCTGTCTATATACACAAATCCCACCACGAAACAGGACGGGCTACAACCCGTGTACTTGAAAATCCTCTCCAAGTACTTGGGTATGCTTATGCTCGGCGGCCGCACGCCGTGGAATCCATCCAAGCTCTTCCCAACCATTGCCGACCCGTGGCTGCCGAGCCCGTTCAGCTGCCGGCCGAGGCTCTCAAGGAGCCGGTCATTCCGAGCCACCAGCTTCTCTAGCACGAAGGACAGCACAGTCAGCACCCGAGGAACGGCGGTGGCCTCTACTTGGCTCAGCTCGGGCCGGGGTTCCAAGCCGGTGCAGTCGCCGGCGGCTAACATTTAGATGCCATCATGATGGAGGCTCTTGCTCGAGCTGAGGAAGGAGAGATTAAAAGAACCCATTTGGGTGGCCTAGAATGGATGCGAGAGGTATGGGCACATTATCCTGGGGACAAGCTCTTAGCAGCTCACATGAAGTGGGATTTTGCCACGTGTGCAGCCGTTTGGCTGCTGCTGATGCTTCTGGTCCAGGAAGAATTTCAAAAAGTTCAGCCGTACTTCATTGAAAGGAACTCAGTGCTATTAGTGATACCCAATAACCTATCTATCAATCGAAAGAGATATGTCGTCAAATGAACCGAAATCTCCGTTACGAGCGGTGATCACAAAGACTCTTTGATCAAGATCGAAAGAATTCTCATCTCGGTGCAAAATTGGAGAGCGGAAGAATTGTCACCGTCAATTGTTCGGCCATAAGTGAGTTTAACAATGACAAACCTTAATATATCTAGTAAATGCGCGAAAATCTTTATCTATACATTGTGGTCACTAGACGTGAGTAATTTGTCTTCCTCATTTCCTATTTCGGTCATGGAGAGCTGAATGTTCGACTTGGAATTCATTTTATTCCACTCGTTCTCGACGCGGAAGAAAGCCCACTGGAACCGGCGAAGCATCTCCAAGGCGGTGATGGTGAAAACTGTGAGGTAGTTGTGGCGGAGATGGGCAGACAATTTGTACGTCCACGTGCAACGCAGGATCAGATTGCTGCCTATTACCCAAACATAAACCTGCAATGTCATAGGCTCGATTAATTGGAAGGCACTTTGTAACAGTCCTGCGAAAAGTGGCGATCACGAAAACAAAGCGAGGTGCATAATTTGGCGCAGCTAGCGAGTCAAATTGATGAAGCTTCATTGACAAGCATTAGCGAGGTGTTTTGAACATAACAACCTGAAGCATCACTATATTTGCTTACCCATTTTCGTGCATACAGAAGCGACGAGACCATACTTGGTTTGCTGAACTTGAAAATCCGAGTGAAGCAACTGCCAGAAAAAAAACTCAGAAATTACATTGGAGTCAAAAGTACTATCAAAATAAAGAAATCCACTTTCATAAAACCATTTTTTTTCCCGTAACTTTCATAAAACCATTTCACCACCATACATTCTGCAAGTGAGAGAAATTTCTGCACTTCCAAATTTCATCAACGCTGGACACAGGTCCAGTTCAATCATAACGAGGCTATGAGGTTAATAATCACTGACTCTTATGGTAACCAGTAATATCACAAGCATAACTTCTCTCAAGAACAAACTTTATACTAGTCAAAGGCAAATTATTCACACAATAAAAGCTCGGATTTGGAAGCTATAGCATTTAAAATGTAAGATATGTTGTAATAACGAGGGTGACGTACCTCAAGTCCCAATCTCGGGTCACGTCCCAATAAAATGAATACAAAGAATTCAAGACACCCGAGAGAAGCCAGAGAGGCCGATAAAAACTTGTCCACTTTTCAGGGAATACATGGTATTTAAGGGCCGAAAGAAAAATCACCGGCACGGCTGTTGAATATTTCAAAGCTGAAAACAAAAGTATACAAAGCCATTAGATATAAAGCAAACTTCAACTAACATAGTTGACAAGGAAAAAAGTGGATTGCATCCATAGAGACAATAGACATCTTAAGCACAGAGAATTGGACTAAAACCAGGCAAAAGGAGAAGGAGAAGGAAGGGGGGCTGGGGGACAGCAGAGAGGAGAAGATGTGTGAAGTAGATCTTCAATATCCATAGCTACACACTCATGTCTTCCTCAGGTACTTCAAAATACAAGAAAATTGTAGTCCTTGGAAATGCTATCAGTGGATAAATACAAATTTTCCAATAAAAGGCAATTGAAAAGGCAAAAGCCTAGCAATAATTTTCACATCTTTCACACAGCAACTGTAAAATCTGAGACATTTCATGTTTCCCCAAAGTGAGCTAGGAAGTCAGTATAAAGACAACAAGCAACCACCCAAGACTTCATGTTGAACAAGCATTTCTACAGATTGGGATGCTGCACTGCATGAGAATGGCCAACAAGCGCAATACAAAAATTGCTGTCCATCCAATCAGTAAAAAAATGAGCATAATCTAAATGTTGGCCTGAACCCGAGACCGAATTTACTCTATGCATACAAAAGATGCTTTGGTTGACACTTAGAAATCCAACTCTAGCCATACCATCAGACAGCAGCCAGAAGAATATCCAACGCGTGTGACATGAGGACTGCATATGCATGAGGCAGTCAAATATTCCAGGTCTGAAGTACCCATTCAGCACATGTGACTATAATATGAGTAAATTGAGTGAATGAAAATTCTCCTCTGAGACATGTGAAGTTCAATTCATTTGTAAAACGAAATTATTGTAGCATAAGATACTTGATAATGGACCTTCTCCAGCAAATGAAATGATCCAGAAGAAGTTGAACAGAGTTCGAAGATATATGTGACTGTAAAGTGAAATGGATCCAGATTATAGTTTACTTAATACGAACACCATGAAGGATAGATAAAATATGTGATTAATGCACATGGGGGCTCCAAAAAAATTGCAAATGCCAAGTAACACAAATATGTTTATAGATGGCCAATAATCAATATAATGAATTTCATGTATATTTCGACCCAAAAAGAATTTCATGTATATGAAAAGCCTGGAGATGCTACCATTCAAAAGAGTGTTTTTTTCTCCGGTATCCTTGTACTGTCGGAGGCATTGGAACAAACGAAAAATGTATGGCAACACTAAAACAATAGGAATCGCAACGGAGTGGCTTCCACAGACAGAATCAGCTTCAAACCAAGCAATAGTGGCGACCTGCATGAGTTTTACACATTTCTATTAATTAGACCTCAAATAAGCTCTATAAAATATTCTCAGTAGACAAACGGCTCTACTCTGTGCTTGCATGCAAACATTCCACATCACATCCCCGAAGATCAAGCTATTTCACTCTGAACGGGAAGTACTAAGTTACTGACAATAAGCCTTCAACCAGCCATGCTGGTGATCCAGGCATACAGTCAAATATCTACCAGAAAAGCTTGAAATTTTCTCCTTCGACTACTTAAATTCGGTGTATGCCTACCATTACAAAATTTTCAAAAGGTTGTCCCTCATCATCTTCATTAGCCGAGTCCTCCAAGAGTTTCTTATTTAAACATCCAATCTAAAAAGCAATATCGAACCACCCACTATAACTTTGGGCACAACAATCCAAAGTGACAATGACCTACTGACCTGTCGATGGACCATCCGACAAACTGAGCGCTCCAAATCTGAGAAAACCTGCAGATTACAAGTCGACCAGTGCATAAATAAAAAACTAAATATCTGAATAATGAACAGTCTGGTGCCGGTTTCTAACAATCATGCAAGAAACCTTGACAGTACTAGTGAATTATGAACCTATTGTGATCGGTACCTTGGACATGGAGGTCATAATATCAGCCAAAAAGAAGTCAGAGAAGCTTATTGCCTGTACATGAAAGATGATGATCAGGGTACTAATAATAGATTAGATACTATGAGTCTACATAAATTTACTCCTTTAAAACCAGTACCCGGCTAAATTTTTTTTACATAACTAGCTTAAAAACAAGTCAGTCTTTTTTTTCCCAGCAGAGTTCCAACCCAAAAAATAAAACATGGAAAGCATAGATTAGAAGGGAAAAAACAAAGGTAACTCGCCTAGGGCAGCTATACAGGCCTTAGGTAACCTCCCAAAAGGCTTTCTTCTACCTCCTTGACAAGAAAATCTATGTCTAGCATATTCTAACACACTTGAGGACTTATTGCTGGGCACCATGCCCAGAAACTAGAAAAGGTGCAGAAGCAGTAAAGTTGAGTCCAGCAAGGATTCAACAGTGATACATCACAATGTACATAATAAAGCAATCACAGTGTGCATCAAAAAGTTTGACACCTCAACAAGCAGCTTACACTATGCGGATTTTGCAAGGATCAAAACACAATGGTCATCTTTTGACACCTATAGACATGCACCAGAAATGTCAATCTGATCTCATTCTTTCCATTAAAAATGTCCATGACGACATCACCCCATAAACAAGGTTTGGAACAAGAAAAATAAACGACAAGATAAGCAATCCATGCAACAAAACCACATCAAATAAAGTTCAAGAACCAAGCCAAAGAGAGTAAACAAGTTGAACAACCCATATCAAGCAATACTAGACAGACTTTTGAATCATCTGAGAGAGAGGGGAAGAGAGGGAAAGTAAGAGCACATTTTTTATACTAATTTTAGGTCAATTTCTTATTATATTGGGAGTATATTTTACAATAATCCAAGAATGAAGAATAAGCTAACAAAAAAGCCCAAACTTGCCTGAAGTGGAAACAT